AACGACAGGGCAGGAGCAGAGAGACGAGACAAATAAACAAGGCACGACGAATAGGCGAGAAGATGGGCAGAAGGGCAGCAATATGGAGGATAAAAAGGCGGTGGTGTCAAGCAGAGTCACGCATTCCGGGTTGCAAATGAGAAGAAGGGCCCTGGGCGGCTGACGAAGGGGTCCTGATTCTGAAGGAGGGAAGATGGGCAGGGACGGGAGGGTAGCCGGGGGTGCCCATAGCAGGCCCGGAGATGTACGAGAGAGGACGGACGCGGATGCTGGAGGCGGAGAGTCGGGAGATGGAAGGCAGAGAGGGAGTTTGTAAAGCAATGCACTGGTTAGGAACCTAGCCAAGTACCCGGGGAGACGCAGGGTACATGGCAATGTGGTGCGCATGGTATATAATTGGTAGGTATTCTCTGTCAATTGCAGTGGGGACGTATACATTCGAGCATGGAATGAGGAAAGGGGGTGGGGGTGGGTTACTAAGGCACGGTTGGCACCCAAGGCACTTTACCCTACTGAGCCCAGTATGGGGAGTATCTAATCGGTTTAGGGGACTTGGGGCACGTCCAGAACCACCGAGAACTTAGGCTCAGGGCTCAGGAGTAAGCTGCATTTGTTAGGTGCCTTACTGCGTAGGGTAATGAAGCGAAGGAGGGGGGCGGGCGCCATCACTTTAGGCCATCGGCAAACCGCTGCTGCACGCTGCACGCCGCATATTACACATGGCTCTTTGTCTGTCCATGTCGGACCGCTTCTGTTTGTTTCCTTCCCCTGGCTTGTATTAGCAATCTACTTGACGTCCACAGGTTGTTTGTTGTGTCGGGGACGAGTGGATGTTGGGAGAGGGATGTCCTTCTGGGAGGCGACCCTTAATAAGAGATGCGAGGCGCTGAAGATGAAAGAAGATTGAGGTGGACTTGATACCTTACCTTGTGCAGCAGCAGGAAAACAGCATAATGGGCACCCAGACTTGTCGAGTCTCTCAGGTCGTCTTTACCCGTACCTTAGCAACCTTACCTACCTTACCTTTGCTTAACACTTAACTGGCATGATTGGTATTGGTACCTTACTGCAGAGTCAAGACTCAGACCCCCCCTAGAGCGGCGCCCGCTACGGCGAACCATTTGGTCACGATCAACAGCCAGCGCTGCTGCAGGGGACTGGGATTGTCAGATGCTTGTGTGCTTGTCATGCACCATACTCCGTACCTTGCCAAGTATCTATTCGTCCTACAGCAGCGCACAGTACCTACCTTAAGTACAGAGTCTGTCTCGTCTGTTGTCTGTTATCTGTCGTCAGCACAAGTTCTGTTTCTGTATATCTCTCGTGGCACAGCATAAGAAACATATACCACGCAGACACTGCCTCGAGCATGCAGGACTGGACGGTATATTGATGCAATGCTCCAAGTGGATGCGGCGGCACACGACCCAGCCTCCACAGCTTATAGCCCTCCCTCCACTATCCATGTCATTTTTTCCTGCGAATAGAGGGCCGGCGCGGCGATGCCGCCAGACCCTGATTGATATCCGCGTGCTGCGCGCACGCGGATGCGGGGTGCAAGCAGCCTTCCATTTGCAAGTTGCATCTCCTCCTCCCCCCCTGTGTTCCACTTTACAAGCAGTTGCCAGTTGGCGCAATTTGCTTCACTCCCGCCAACCTGCTCCGCAATGCACCTTCTGATCTCCAGGATGTCCCGTGACGACCAACTTCTGATGCCTTATCCGTATCCGTTCTGTCCGAATATTGTGCACAGCTCTGCGTCTGGAGACTTACTGGCTTCCAAGATTCAAATCACAAACAACGCCAGAATTTCATGGGCTCTCGGTGATTACGAGATTGCTACTCATTGCCTTAGCGCTTAGGAGCCGAGCCAGGTGCGTACGGTACGTTAGTACCTGAATCAAATCAAATAAGGTAAGGCAGGTACAACATCTGGGGTGCCGTGGGTGCCTTCCCTCGAGGTAAAGTGCATGCATGCACATCGTTAGTGTGAAGAGGAGGTTTACGTAAACACACCCCTAAGCAGCTTAGGCAGGCCGCCATTGGTTCCTACCGTAAGAAGTGCATCTTGCCCAGGGACACAGCGCCTTACACAGGCAGGTACCTTAGTCTCTCCGCTCCAAATTGATATCGGGTGCTTGGGTAGGTACTATGGAAAGTACCTTAGCCGTGGAACCTCTTTACCTTTACCTATCGGTCCTATCCAGATTCCACGATCCGAGGGTATCATTCGTACTGTCTGATCGAAGCCTAAGACTTTCGTTGGACTCGATCTAACCTCGACTCTCTCTGCGACTACATCTCCTTGGCAAAGCTGCTGATCTGTTGGTCCCCATAGCTGACGGCACGCCTCAAAACCAAGACTCAGATGTGCCAGCAACCAGCTACCCCCTCCTCAATGCCAATGGCTCGTCGACGGGAACAAAGCACGCCCGTTCTCTCCTCATCTCGCATGGTCTTTCTACCTTGCCGAGTGTCCGGACCAAGCTGGGAACTCCTGTGCATAGCCCAGGTACCTGCAGAGAAGGCGAGGAATGTAGGTGAACAATCACGTGCCTCAATCCTGGCTTGTTCACCAGTGCTATCTGTACGTAAGAGCATGACTTCACCTCTGCAAGCTACGAGGTATTAATTTAATCTCAATGACAACCTGGTAGAACCTGGAGTCGACTCTGGATCGCCCGAGATGTTGATGTGACCAGACTCGAGTACAACCCTATCTGTATCTCCAACGACACCGCTGCCTCTGTCATGCCGCCTCCTGCTTTAAATCCCTACCCCCACCCACCGACATTATACTGCACTATATAGTATGCACTCTAAGCATGCAGAAATTAATGATCTCACCAGAGCCAGAGCCGCCTTGCTGTGTTCCACAAGTCCCATCCGAACTATGCGGCGTGTGCGCAGCTACTACTTCGCTTACCAGCTGCGACAAAACTCGTTCTCGCCGAGATACGTTTTCAGTGGCTTACTCTCCGCCGGGAGAGCTCCTAGACCGTTTGACCGTCAACCTGGAACACTCAGACCGCAAATCTATATACATGACGGCTCCGTTTTCTGGCACACCAAATGCATCACTGCCATTCAACTTAAACCTCCTTAGCCGTACCCTCACCAATGCACGGCCTTTCCAGCTCCAGCATCATACACCATGTTCACGGCTAGAACGCCAAACACCAAACGCCAACGTCCTCAGCCCGCCCCCCGGCTTCTCTGCATTGCATCGCCTGGCATCTGAAATCACCTGACCACATTGAACCAAGCATGCGTTATGCAACTCGTCTTCATTGTCTTCAACGCCCGCCCGTCAGTATGAAGGCGACTCCATGCCAATTTTACCTACCTCGTTCCTAGGCCGCCTACAACGATAGGCATTCAGCAGACTGGGCCGACTCGAAGCAACGCACATGGTAATGACTGTTTGCAGTATGAGAGCGGGCACGAGGCGTTATTCCAGCCTCAAACCCTTCGTGCCATCGGATGACTTGTACCGCTTGGTGCGACTGATACATACCTACCTTACTCGACAACCCCTGTGAATCACAAAGCTCATCAGGACCCTGAGAAGCGTACCGGGTCTCATCCATGTCTGCACCTCAACAGTTCACTCCGTCCAAACCATAGATTGGGGGTTTTGGTCGCACACGAGTCCGCACATACATACATGTTTCTACCGTGCTTTGCGTGGTTCAGCACGCCTGCTCGCTTGTCGGCACTGCAACCCGTCTAAAGGTGACCTGACACCTGGCCCAGCCGTATCTGAGTTGTCTCATCCAGTCTTCTTGCCGTCGGATGCCTTTTTTTCCTCGACAGCTTCGTCGCTCTGACCCAAGTCTGACTGGGAGGAGCTGACTCTAGGCCCACGCAATGCCAATAGCTAGATACCGCCATTGTGTCGTGACAAGTTTCTCGTACTGTGGGATTGCTCTCGATTAAGGTACGCCTTTGCGGAAACCCGCGAGGGCCGAAGCTTGTCTTACATTACGTTAGTTGGAGTTCAACCCGCAGTGATACTAACACAAGGCGAGGAATCTGAGCCCCGGTGTGGCGATTCCCGAGCATTCCAGACGTCAGGCGGCCTTGCATCTCCCGATGTAACTCGACCGGATCGGACCCGGGTCTCGGAGTCCAATGCCGGTGTACGGGAGCTAGGTACGATCTTGCCTCTCGCCACTGTCGTGGTCCGCGCCACTCGCACCTTCTCGGAATTCCAATTCAGAAGTGATAAAGTCTCGTTTGTCGAATGTCCCACACCCCATGCAGCACGTCTTGGAATTCGTGCTTGCAGACGACGAGGTGCGCATGGCAAAACGCACGATTTACATGGCCTAGAGTCAAGTTCTGCGTAGCTTAGCCTCCGTCATGTACGATATTTCTAATCTGTAAAAAAGATCGCCACGTTGTTTGCATTTTGTCCTCTTTCGTAGTGATGGCTGTTGATATACTACAGCCCCTGACCTTCGTCTCGACTTACTTAATTGACTCCGTACATGGATCTTCAAGTTTTTACTCGCCATATTCAATCATTTTATGGCGGAAAGAGTTCATCTGCTTCCATTTGAAAGCTGAACATGACACCCACAGAGAAAGAACACTGAAGCCGGGGTTTCATACTCACTTCCACCACCAACGCTAGCCCTCTGCCCATTGTGAATGCTTCTAGTCTGGGCCTTGGTCCGGTGTCGTTCATTAGTAAGATGGAGAGGCAACTTACGACTGGAGCAGTGTGGCTCAGCCCAGGCACGTGAGACCTTCAGGAATTCTTCGCGATGCTCTACGATGCCATCAGATGCCACTTACATCAAAGAGTATCAAAGAGTATATCATCCTCACTGAGATGGCATAATGACACAAAACTCCATTCTAAATTAAGTATGGGAAACTGCGCAACGTAGCACGAAGCAACAGGGAATTTGACGTACGAAGGCACAATATTAATGTCTTTTGAGTGGGTTTACGGAAAGTTCCAATGTCCCTCGCCCGATAAATCAAATAGATCAGCTTTGCAGCTCTCCTGTAGCCTCATCTTCGATAACCCTCCTGCTCGTGTCAATAGCCTCAACCGTTTCTTGGGAAGACTCGGAGGTATCTTGGGTCTCAGAGGTTTCCGAGGTCTCGAAGGCTACCGAAGTCTCTGCCTTTGATGAAGTTGCATTCTCGTCATCGGGCTCGTCAGGGCTCATGTCAAGCCTAGGAGTCGGGATAAGTTCAAAGATCTCGTGAGCTGCAGTGCTATCGTCATCAGAATCAAGTCCAATCTTGGGGATCTCGACAGCTTCAAAGGTCTCGAGAGCTCCAGTGTCATCACCCCCAAAATCGTCATCGACAATCTTGCGCTTTCGGAGCGTGTCCTGCAGGCTCTTGAACGCATCTGCCGTGCGGTCTTTGAGGGTGTCCAGACGCTTGCACTTGTCACACACTCCAGCCTTACGGACGCAGTTCATCGAGTGTACACGGCGCTCGATGCATGTGTCACTGGTGTTGTTTTCCATGTATTTGAGGAGGTCCCTTTGCAACTTGCATGTTGTTACCTTTTTGCCGAGTTCGCTGTGCTTGCACTCGTATACGGTGGCGCGGTAGAAACACATGATTGCTAGAGAGAAGAATAGTAAAAGCGGAAAAGTCGAAGAGAAGTTTTACTTACTGTTGTTTTGTTGTCGAGGTTGATGATCCGGCATGGCCGCTTCGACCTGAGCCTCGCCATTCTTATATGCTCGACGTCAGACCGTTTAGCATAGATGACCTGCCTACGTCAAACACGTATGGAATCCCGAAGTACTGCTGTTGTTTCTAGACATGTCAATGTTTCTTGAACCTCTTAACGATGTTCTCTACCAAAGTTGACAAAGGGGATCTGGTTCTTGTGTGGGTATCAATTGGGATATTCGAACAAAGGGCGTGAGACAGCAGCACTACCTAATATGACATCTTACGGCCAAAGAATCGACTAGCATCATTCAAAATACTAGATATTTGCTATGTGGACTTCTTAAGAGACAGGGATTCACTTTCCAGGACCTCTACAAAGGTTGATGCCCATGCTATGCCTTCGGGCGCCCCAACATCCTCCACCTTTGGCACTTGATACCCTAATCTCCTCAGAGTCCTTATCAAACTCGACTCGGCGTCGGACGATATCACAATCCCTCGGGCAGCCAAAAGACACTCGATATCTGTAGTGGAGTCGCCAAAATACCACAGCGTCTCAATATCCTCCGTTCCTCGCCGAGCTGCTAATGTTCGAAGGGCTTGCAGCTTGTCCTCGCACGTCATGAGGGACGGCCGCACTGTCGGTGAGCCCGCTACTTCAGGCCCTGAGATGCTACCATCCAACTCGATCTCATTAGCGACAATGTCGACGCTATAATCCGATAGGACACCCTTGATGAATGATCTAGACCAGTTGACGGAGACTACCGCGACGGACCAGCCCTTCTCTGTAGCAGCATCCATGAGATCCGCAAAACCATCTCTCAACTTGACTCTGCCTTCCTTTCGATAAGTTACACCGGCAAGTGTAAGATGTTCCCAGCTGACGCCCTTGAAGATGCTTGAGCTCTCAACTCTCTGTACTGACCGCATCTCAACTTCCTTCAGACCCCGCAAGAAGTCGAGTTCATCTTTGAGCGAGGATCTGTCATCCGCGATTGGAAGATATGTGGACAAATGGTCTGCATGGTCTTTGCTGTAATCTAGCAGGATCTGCTGCCACTTCGAAGAGAGATCGACTCCGCGCTGCTGCTGGAATTGGAGGCCGATTTCTGCCAATGCGCCAATTGTATCCTTTGTCGTGATGGTACCGTCAAAGTCCAACACGATGTTGAGGGTATTCTGAGGCATTTTTTGCAACACGCGATAAAGCGTGGTCTTGACGTTGTCTTTGGGAAGATTGGCTTAGTTGGATCCAAGTCGATGAAGTTGAGGGGTGACGACTGTGCCTTTCCCCACTTGCCCACTTTGATCACAAGTGGTGTTGGATAAGGAAAGAAAGACAGCCAGCTATGCTCATGTCAGAAGTCGGGACACTGGACACTGTGTTTCCACTACCATCGGACTTGGACTCCATCTACTGTGTTCCACTGTGTTCCAGCAAGAGTATATATCACTTGCTCTGATTTTCTCTATCGTTTTGCGATGGGAGGGACAGCTGCAAACCCTTCGACACGTGTGTCGTCACCTAGTGTTCCAGGGGGTATCAAAAAGTCCCTAACTGTAAGAGCCACCTCCATCCAAGACTTTCCATGCGAAAAACAATGCCCTTCCGAACGCCTTGCGATGCCCTGCGGGTCCTGTGCCCCGATTTGTGTATAATTGCGAATGTTCACTAGACAACATCCTCCATAACCACTTCATCATCGTCATCCTCTGCGGCGGCTTCTTCCGGTGCCGTCTCGTTGGTGGCGCCGGACGCCATGCTCTTCAAGTGCTCTTGAAGCGACCACTCGTTAGCGTGGATGCCGGACCTGTTAAGTAACGCGATCTTTTCCAATGTCTGGCGTAAGAAAGCCTCGGGCTGGTCGAATCTAGCCTTGAGAATCGACATTTTCCAGTACTCGTACTTCCTGAAAGCCTCCATAAGGCCATCCAACAGTTGTTCCTCCGACATGCGGGCGGATCTGTTTTCGGATTTCTTCGGCTTGGTGGCCTTGGTAGGCGCAGATGTTTTCTACTCTCCATCAGTAAGTGGTCTACCAGTTCCCACCAAGTACTACTCACAATGAAGGAGCCAAACTTCTCAACGGCAGCAGCAGAACCATGGTGAATAATGCTGTTGGCTGCGCGCTGCTCCATGATCTGAAGGGTATGCTTGGGCCGCTGAGCCTCGACTTGCTTCCGTTGAAGAATTGCCTGGCTCTCTGCGTTATCGACTGGCTTGCACGCCAGCTCGTACTGGATTCTAGCGGCAATCTTTGTCTTCTCTGCGTTGAATTAGCCGCTGACCTACGCCATGTCGGGAGCATCAAACTGACTGGGAATCGCCTTGCGGTAGTACGGTTGCCATTTGCGACCCTTCTCGAATGGTTTCTTCTCCACCTTCTCCGTCTTGGGTCTCAGGAATCGAGCCGGAATGCCAGCATTTGCGGCATCTGTTCGCGCCTTGGATTTGGCCTTGAAGCCAGGTAGATCCTCTTCCGTGAAAACGAATGTGCTGCGCGCGATCTCCTTGCCCATCTCCAAGTCGTATTCTTTCGGCATCAGCTGGTGCTCGGCGCGATCGGAATTGAGTAGCATTTTGAAACGATGCTGCGCAAACAAAGTTAGCCCAACTATCTATCTAGCCTTGTCGCGTCGCGTATGTCACAGTACCTCAACGCTGCCATCTGGACGGACCACATCCCACTGTCGCATGGTGCCGATCTCGATTTCTGCGTCATCCGGCAAGCTATCCCATGCTTCCCACAGGTCCTTCGGAACGCGTGCTAAATACGCCTGGCCGAAGGAGCCTTGGTCGCCAAATTGGTCGAAGAACTCTAGATCGCCAGCATCTTCGTATAGGTCGTCGTCGTCGACATGTGCGGCAGGTATGGCTTCGGGGTCGGGTTTGATGTATGTTGAGTCCGCCATATTGAATATTCTGGGTTCAGATGCTCCGTTGCTATCCAAGGTCGCGAAGTCGAGGAAGGGTTGGTGTTTTTTGCAATGACGGCAGAGGGAACGGGATAGCCCACATCTATCTTTAGCTCCGTCACAGCAAGCAAGAGAGAAGCTGGAAGTGGCAGTTAAGATCCACCCGAAGCAGCAGCCTGGAGGTACCTTTGTGCCCAGAAACAGACTAGCTCATAAATCATGTGACATGGATGAAATGGACCCAACCTCCATTTTTGGAGGTTCAAGTACTCCGTACCTTGCCATTCAACTATTGCATTTGCATCTATGTAATCCAAATACTTGCAGTAGAATATTTGACACCTGCCTTGATCTGAAACATAAAAAAGTGACTTTTCGAGCCCGATAGTCTCAATAATCGATCAATAAGGTAGAAGCGAGCCCATTGACATAAGGAGCCCGGTCATCCTAAGAGGCACCTCGGTGACAGTCACTGCCTGCCTTAGCTCTGGACAAGGGCCTGTCCAAGCTTGGGGAACCACTTAAAAGCCGCATGCCCCACTACGGACCTGGCACTTCGGTGTTCGTGACCTCTTTAAAAGACCCATCCATCTGCACCTTCCCGCCATCACTTACATATACTAGCAACAACGAAGATCTAACTTTTGAGTATAACACTTCTTATCGGCTCGACCTGTAGAGGGCCTTGAGGGGTCTCCTCCACCTTGACAGAAACCTCCCGATACAACAATCTACTATTCGAATTACCTAAATACCCATTACATCCTTTATTGGAACAATGAGCCTGCGATTCGCCTGTTCCTCGTCAACGACCATACAACCGAGCGCTCTCATCACGGCGGCAACGACCATCAGCTAGGCACTCTTCCAAAGTCCCGCCTCAATCATTCACCATGGCGCCGACTAAGTCACTTGCCGAGCTGTGCATTGCTATGTGCCAGAGACACATTACAGAACTCAGCAGTGTAGGCAATGGCGACGCCCTCCAATACCACCATGTCCGCGAAATCCTCCTCAGAGTCACGAACCCGGCTCAGCTACGAGAGATTGAGCTCAACTCTCCTTTCATACAAGGCGAAACCTCCGAGCTCTGGCTGCGCCTTATCAAGAAGGAATTTCCATCCGAAAGCCACGAAAAGAATTACGCACCTAAGAATCCGTCGAAGTGGTACAAAATATACGAGCGATATGCGGAGGAACGCCGTGAGGCTCAGCAACAGGCTGAGGCCGAACTTCTCGCCAGGGTCCAGGGGCTTCAGCAGAAGAAGGACAACAACGTCAGCCGAATTGTAGACCCCAAGTTCGCCAGATTCTTGCCCAAGCCGCCTAAGACTGGTCGCACCTTTTCGACACAGCCTCGAGGGAAGAGGGAGCTCCCAAGTTCCCTGAGCTGGGCCGCCGGAAGCAGAATGAAGATGACGACGGGCGCTAGCGTCATGAAGAAAGCCCGTAGAGAGGCCAAGGAGATTGTTGGCATAAGAAGCACCATGGCTGTCCCAACTGGCATGATCAGGGCCCCTCGATTGAAACAGGCCCCGCCCTCAATGGCTGCCGAGCACCGAATCTCAAGTCAACCAGTCTTTCGGCCTACATCTACCAGCAGCCGCCCACCCACACATTCCACATACGTTACCCCTCAGTCCAAGGCCACATATGTTTCCGATTCATCGGATGGCGAGGACGGTGATTTGTTCAGCGATGAGGGAACGCCGAAGAAGAACAAGGGCGCGGCATCTTCCTCTCACCATACTCGGGATACGGCAGCTTCCTCTAGGCCTACGAAACCTTCCCAATCCTCAGCTTTCAAGGATCGCAACTCTTCCACATCCGCCAGATCTACCTCTAGCTCACAAACATCGGGTTTGCGACGTGGGGGTGGTATTCTCGGAAATGCTGCTCGGCCTAAGAGCAATATCAGAGTTGAGCGCCCACTAAACAGGCCCGAGCCATCATCCTCTACGAGTATGGATCAGTCCCGCACGCACAAAGTACTCGCTCAGAACAACGGTCCACAATCCCCTCCTTTGCCAGCGTCGTTGGACGAAGCGCAACAAGCTCGACCGATTCTAGGCAACCAGGAGCTGCCCAGAAAGAGAAAGGCTGTCGACATTTTTATGCCAAAAAAGAGGACTAAACGCTGAAGGGCAGTATGGTCTGGCGTTGCTAAAACGAGGAATTACGAGTATTGTAACATAAAGGTAGTTGGGCGTTGGTACAGGGACAGGTCACATAGCATTGGAATTCAGGCGTCGGGTAGGATAAAGTATATACCCTTAGGCTCTGTATGGTCGTCCTGCCCATCATGGCAGAGTGAAATTGAACTTGTTTCAAGATACATGACGGTCCATTCGCTTTCAACTCAGCACCATTTCTTTGACCTCTGATATGTTCATGTGACTAGCTCTATTCTTCATGCGAGGATTATCGCAGGCAGCCTTATACGCTAGTTCATTGTTCCTTCGATGCCACATCCCAATGCAGACCTTGTCTTTTGAGAGTTAAGACTGGCATTCACAGCCTGCCTCGAGACCCCCCCCCCCCTATCCTTTGGACAGGCAGTATTTGATACTCCCACGTCGGAAATAGACGTGACTGCTGCATATCATCCCCTATCGGCTCTGTAGCCGATACATGCTCCGTCTCAAGAATGCTGAAAACACCTGAGCTGTGTGTTGTTTCCTGTCCTGTCTTCTCTTGTTCAAAGCCGTTGTCAAAAACAGACCTAGTTTCCACCACGAAGGGCGAGAACCAAATGCAGCGTAGCGCCAGCCTCGAGGCCATATTCGGATGCGGACTTGTCGTCGACCCTGTTTGAGCATCATGTAAGCTGGATGGTCTCCGTAGGAATTCTCCCAAGCCCCCCCCCCCCCTTTCAGTCCTATCACACTGGCGAAAGCATGGCAAGCACCAAGGGATTTACACCTTACATTTGCTTTCCACCGTAGATGAGTCTTTGCTGGACGGGCGGGATGCCTTCCTTCTCCTCAACCTTCTCCTTGATCTGAGAGACCTGTTGCAAGGTTGGTCAGCGTCATATTCTCTCCCTCTCTGTTTCCGTTCGTTATATTTGGTGGGCAATGTGTCGGAAAAGTACGCGCCTTGTATTCGTTCTCGATGTCCAGCTCAATCTCCTTGCCGGTAAGCGTTCGCACCCTAGTCGGCGTAAGCAGTTATTCGAATTGGTACACAGTCGGGTCACCGCCTCCAAAGGTCTGGAGTGCAGAGAGATTCGCGTACTTGATCAACATTGTGGCGTGTGTGTGGAATAGCGACAGCGATCTGCGGACTTGAGGTTGGTTTCGGGGAGAGGTAGAGAAGGCAAGGTTGTGCGGTATTCGAATTCGACTTGGCGGGGTCGTGTGGTTTGTGAGTTGAGGATGTGACGGGTGCACGATTAATCTCGAGCTATCCGCAGGCAGGAAGTCGTGGTGGGGGAGGGGCCCTTCTGTAAGCCGAGCAGGGGAGGGGGACCTCTGAGATGCCCGGGCCCACCCCAGGCACGCCTTAACGCTGTGCAGGCATCCACCAGTTCCGACGGCCTGTGCTGCAAATAGATCAATAGCCGTCGAAGAAAGTAGGCAATATACGTACAGAAAATCTCAAATGTTGCAAGTCTGCTATTATAAATTCATTTACAGATAAGCACTGTAACAAGTGACACTTATGATATAGAATTCTCTATAGTTCTGTATCAGAAATACTGAAGAGTTTCTGGTATGTTGTACACAGATGAACTTTCCACCAACCTCATACATTTGCAAATGAAGTGTTCTCGAAGCTTTCAGAGGCGTTTTTCTTTCATTATTATACATATCCATGCCAGATTTTGATGTTGTAGGAGTACAGTGTGGAGAATCCGCGCCGAAACGCCGACGCCTTATTTCTTCTCGCTATCGTCAAACACGTTCAGACCCAGGCCCTCAGAGTCAAGCAACAAACGGTTCTTGCTACCAGACTCCTGCATCTGCTGAGCAATGGCGCGCGCGTTCTCAATCTTCTTCAGCTCGACGTAGGCCTTGCTCTTCTTGATGGCATCTCCAATCAGCTCAGCAGAGCGAGCCTCACCCTGGGCCTTGACAACCATGGCCTGCTTCTCCTGACGAGCCTTGTCGACAACGAACGCCGCGCGCTGAGCCTCTTGCTGGGCAACCTGTTTCGCCTCAACGGCAGCTGTGAATTCCGGGGAAAAGGCAAGGTGCTACGGCGCATTGTCAGCAAGACATCATGGGGGTTCATTAGTGTCATTTACATACCGTCAGAGACACATCGTCCAGCAGAATGTTAAACCGTGCGGCACGGCGGGAGAGGTTCTCGCGAACCAACTTGGCAACCATCTCTCTCTGGGTAATGAGTTGGGAAGCGTTGAACTGAGCAACAACACTCTTCAGAACCTCGTTGACGATGGAAGGCAGCACTCTCTCGTCGTAGTCTGTGCCGAGAGTGCGGTAGATCTGAGGCAGGGCCTTGACGTCAGGCCTGGAAAGGACACGGCAGGTGATGTTGACCATCTGCAAGTCCTTGGTTCCGGTGAGGGAGGCGACGTTTCTGGGCTTCGCACGAACATCATAGGTGACGGGAGTCTCGAACCAGGGGATGATCAAGTGAGTTCCTAAGAGAAAGGAAACTGTCAGCACGTTTTGATCTCCAATATCAAGGGGAAAGGTGCCCCCTCAAGTGGCGTGGAGGGGCGCTGCCAACCTTCGCTGTAGATCTCCTTGCTCACACCCGTTGTCCTCCGGTATTTGATCGCTCTGTGACCACCATCGACGTTGAACAGCGCATTCTGGGCCACAAATGCAGCACCTCCCAAAAGAACCAGACCGGCAAGTCCCATGCCAGCGCCGCGAGGACCGCCGGGCATGCCGCCACCACCGAAGCCGCCGCGCTTCTGCTGCTGCTGAGCGACGGCCCTGAAGCGCTCGTAGGCCTCCTCCATAGGATTTCTTCCTCCAGACATGATGAAGTTCGGGTGTAGGCGCGTCGGTTCGACGGATATTCAGCTCAAGGCAAGCGAGCTTCGATCGGTGCTGTTTTGCGGTCGATTGACTGTGGGTTGCTGCAGCTTCGAAATGGGAAAGCTGATGGTGGAGCTTTGTCAGACCAGTATTCAACGTCACGGTTCGTCTGGCGGAGCTCGAAAAATGGTGTTGGCCGGTGCTCTCGGCTTGGGAGTGTGCCCGCGGCAGCAGCTGGCAAGCACCTCAGGCAGCTCCCGGTTCGTTCGAGCCGTCATCAACCTGGAAGGCGCACAGACCATCCCCGGATTGCTTACCCGTCGTGCTTGTCTAGATCCTCAGCTTCCGCCATCTGAGAACAGCTGGCAATTCGTAGCAGGCAAGCCAGCTTCCATGTACGAGAGCAGCTTCATCTCTGATCTCCACAAGATGAAGTTAACAAGGCGGTTGTTGGTATGTCACCTGGGACAATGAGATAGTGCATAATGATTGGGAGCTTTACATACTGTTGCAAAATTCGAAAACTCGAGACGTTCTTATTTGACACCTACGCAGCAGGCCTACAAGCATCAAAAATGGCCGGCAAAGAGCCTGAAGCAGCTTGGTGCCAGGCTTTCTTCTACCAGTCGACTTCATCTATGAGAGCAATTCCAGGCGAGTTTCAATCAGAGTCGTAGTAGATTGAACCTAAAGACTAGATCAATTAATACTGTCGGCAATTATTTGGCTGCTTCGACACCGGGAAGAGAGCGAGTCCACGTAAACGTCGTTAAGATATTATTGGTCTGATGGCGCTCCTAAGGCTCACCGGCATCTCCGTTCGGACAGCCTCAATACTATGATACTATCGCGATACATGAATAGAATATTATAATCACAGGTCAGCCCAGTTGTGACTCTACAACCTCCTCGCGGTCTCCTCAGCGCGTCTACCAAACTTCTTGATCCAAGAAGCATCGTAGGAATCCAATTCCACTGCGCGTTGAGGCAAGCTTCTCTTAGCCGGATGAACGTTGGCTGCGGTGATGTTCCCGCAGTCGGGCCTCTTCAAGTCATTTCCAAACACATCAACGGCCCAAAGTAGAACACCGTTCGTCCAGCCGAATCCCTCAACCACTTCATATTCTCCACCGCCACCCGCAACGTTGGTTGAGTTATCGCCGTACTTCTCAAACATGGTTCCGACGCTCTGGGCGGTCAACCCCTGGAGCTGAGGAGTCTCGCTGGTTGAACCCCCCGTAGCGTACCATGTGCAAAAGGTAGAGTCCAAATACCGTTGTCCGAGGCGGAGGGCGAGACTTTGGACATCACGCCAAGCGGGATCCGACTCCCCAAAGGTGGCAGGTGTCCTGCGTAGACCTTCCATAAGAACGTGCATCAAGGGTGGCCAGACATTTGGCTGATCCCACTGTTGACCAGTCTTGAGGTTTGTGGCGGGGATGCCACCCTTCTTGATGTCTAGATACTTCTCCACACGCTGGTACGCTTGCTTTACCGCGTAAGGGTTATTCTTGAGATGAGAAGGTGCCGCTCCTGTCCAGAACGGGTAGAACTGGGAAACTGAAAAGAGAACTTGTTGTTCTGCTCCGGCGGTGTTCGTTTCAAGACTGCTGGCATCATCGTCTTCGGGAATGTAGATGTTCTGACCTCCCGAGGTCACGTTGTAGTCAAAGTAGCTTGAAAGAGTGGAGTTCCACATCAAATCGTACATGGCTTGACTTCGTTTGGTGGCAAGTTCAGTCCAAGCCACTGCTCCCGTGCCGTTGCTTGTAGAGTTGAGTAGCGCAGCAATGGTCATCTCATTCCAGTACAAGATGGAGTTCAGCTCCACAGGGACAGTCTCCAGAACGTTGAGGGATCGGAGAGGGAAGTAGACGTCCCTCGCCGCATCTGCAGGTCGAGAAAGCCATCGTGAGGTGTAATCCCAGCCACTCTCGGCACCGGACGCAAGATTGGCATACACACGGGCCTTTTCGGTGTCGTTCAGCTTCTCGACCTCGGGGTAAATGATTCCGCTGGTCGAGTAGTAGGAAGCGTTCGAAGCAGTGACGTAGTCTTCTCTGTATGATTCGGGTCTTGGTTGTGTGTTGGTCACGTTGTATCTGATCCTTGATGTTAGCTACAAGCTAATAAGTCAGATGGTCTCAATATTTACTGACTGATTCAGAGTGTATGCAGTCCCGTTTCTGTTTACTTCAACAGTTCTGTTTGTCATCCAGAAGTCATGCTCTTTAATGAGGAGAGGAATTGCACGTTCCAATATGCTCCGGTCGCTCGTGTACTCGACATAGAGGCGCACCATCTGTGCTAACAATGGCGGCTGCGAACGGTTCAGATAGTAGATTCGAGCACCATTTGGCACAAATCCGAGTTTTTCCACGAGGTCCAGGAAATTTTCGATTACATTCTTGGAGATCTCAGTGAAAGCGCCACCTGTGCGTAACAGACCCTCGAGAATCCCTACATGACATTAAAGGTCAGTTGACAACTCGCCATATGAACATGAAGTTACATAGTGAGCTCTTACAGAAAGAGTCCCAATAATAAGGCTCGCGGAATCGGCCTCCGGCAACCACAAAGGTGTGGTTGACTGGGATGAAGCTGTTCGGGCAAGTTGTGCAGTTGCTTGCAGAGCCAGCGTAGGTGCGGGTCAAGTCCGGCCAGATGGCAATGACCTTCTGAGAGAATTCCTTGATTACTGTATCGTTGATCTTGTCGAGGAACTTTGGGTCTGTTTTCAATTGATCCTTCGGTACTTCCTTCAGCTCACCGCCCGCAGCGGCGAAATTGGCGCGTAGGAAGTCATTGAGTGCAGTGTTATTACTCAGGGGTTTCGACAGATTGTTGAATGCTGCTTGGATCTCTTCCAGGGACTTAATTGCAGGCCTTTTGAGGAGTGATGAGTATCCATGAGGAGCCTAGGTCGGGTTTTGGTCACAGGGTGGTGTCAAGGGGCACTCACATGTCTACAAATGTCTTTGAGTCTGAGAACGGTCTTGCCAATTCAACTTCTTTCAAGATGTCGCCATGGCAGTAGATGGGTGAGTCACAAGGAGCGACAACAGACCCATTCTCATACAAAGCAAGAGCTGTCTGTGGTAGAACAGCTACAGCTGCGAAGACCAGTACAAAGTTGACCATGGTGTCCAATTGAGCTCTCGGAGGAGCTAGTATATACACAATGGTAGTATTATTGAACGGGTAGATCCAGGGACGCAGACAAAATGCTCACTTCGGATGAAGTGGCTCTCGGCCAGGTATAAATGGCCACAGAGGGAAGCACGTTATGCACATGGGAAGCTGCCAGGCTGCCTACCAGGATCGGCTGCAGCTTCACTTACCTTAGGTCGGGAGGGGAAGCTTGGACGGGTTCGTCGCCAGGAGGGATCGTCGGTCGCCTAAGGTGAGCAAGTACCGTAGCAAGACCAGGGCAGACCCGGGCCGGTACCAGGGGGCCGCGAACCCAAATGTACATAGGCTTTCCCGGGATGTTAGACATTATGACCAAAACAATTTCAAAAACTCCTCAGTTTCCTGCGGGTTTACGTGGGCGGCCGAGTAGAAGGTTACCGTTGCGCGGCGCCGTTGGGCTTGGAATATGCTGGGTCCGAGTCAATTCTGCGCCATCGCAGGCATCTTGGGTTCGCTGCATGGCAGACGACACGTTGGACGCCACAACATGCAACTTTTACGAATCGAGAAAAGAGTGTTGTCACATCGAGCAAGACAGAGAGACACCTCGACACCGAGAAATGAAGCTGGCTGGCTTCGCCGGTCCTGCTTGCAGACGACGTGCAGCTTTCCCCGCATGATCCAGTCCTTTGGGGAGCCGTGGTAGAGCCGCTGTACGAGCGTCATAGCACCGATTGGCCGCCTGTTTGTTTCCTCTCAGCTCCTTAGTGGTTTCCCAGCTCTGGGGGAAGCTTCTAGCTCCAGAAGCGTCCATGAGCATGATGTGTGAGCAGGCTAGGCGTATTAGTGCAAGGGTAGACGGAAAGTGTGGGTGACGAGCATCGTATGTCATCCCACTTGGACCGACAGGTGTTGTGACGTCAGCAAGGATGACCGTGGGATCTTGCGAACTTGGTATTAGTCTTGTCTTGAGAGTTGCGGTAAGAATGCCTGTTTGGCGGGGTATGAAAGGCTTCGTTCGGTGCTCGTCAGACCATGCGGTAATTGTTATTGGACAGATGAGCCGGGCTATGCGGAGAAGCTCGGCGGTCCCGGATACAGCTTTCTCCACACTCCCCCGGAAATTGCTCCGAACGTTGTCTTGATGCACTCGAGTACAGATACCACCTGTATTGTTGTCCACACAACTATGTCAGCGGCGGTGGAGTGGTACTCGGAGTCTTTGATGCTCCGCATTTACCTTCTTTTTCCTCCGTTTGCTCGTTGTCGAGACACAGAGGCGCAGACGAGGGGCAAGGGCGAGGCTTTCACCTTGTACAACAAGGCAATCGCCGCGATGTACCCTGTACTTTCAACCTTTTTGCCCAAGGGTCTGCCTCGTTGTGTAGCTTTGGTGCCTGGACAGGAGCGAGAGCGAGATTTCCATGTGGTGTGGGTGAAACCCAACATTTCGTTACATCTGATGATGCGTGATCGTAGGAGATTTCGTTCTCATTGGTCTTGTGACTCCCATAAGTTAATACGATCAACCACTCGCCTTAGAGGATCAGGTAGGCCTTAAGGGGGAAAAAAAGTTAGACTAATCTTACATGTCGATTAACGACCATCGAGGATGCCGCATACAATCTCCTTTCAGATGGGCAGTCTTTCATTATCAACGATATATTGCAATTTACCTCTTTAATTAATTTCTTCAATGACACCTCAAGGCGGCACTACGTATGCAAGCTCCTGCATCGATTCGTACTGGTAGTATATTCAAGATCCATCAGGCTCCTCTGCCGTGCCGCGGCAATTTGATTACGACTACGTTTGGAAATATATCTCGTTTCTCGCCAACTCGTACTACTCCATCAATCTTGAAATGGCTACAGCCATTTGGAAGCTCCAATCGGCAACGGCGTTCTGTTGTCAAGTCCGACGGCGCATAGTAAATCTACACTCATGGCAATGACATACGCCAAGTGACTTGATCATGGACCATCCCGAACGATAGAATTGAATTCAAGTTCAAATTTGCGCACGCCCCTCGAGCTTGATGTCTGGATTTACTCACCGTATATAATTTTTATTTGGATCTTTGCCTGTCGTCCTGCAGGAGCGATCTGAGATGACAGGGATGAAGCAGGGGTCACACGTCTTATATCAGCTGTCATGAGTAGAATCTGGAATGCCAGCCAGTGAAGCTTACTTCTTTCGTGTAATCCGGATCATAGTTAAAGGACACTCAGGCTGGGTCTGCGGTAAGCTCTGATGATTTGAGGATATAGACGTAACATTGTTGATTGAAGTTGGCGTCCCATGGTGAACATCAAGTCTCAGAGATTCCGAGAAACTACGTTCAACCTTACCGCGGCTGGTACATGTTCGTCGGGCCCTTCTCCCCTCCTGTTGTCTGACTGCTCCCCTCTAGAGCTCGCCGAAAGACTTGCTCTAGCTTAGGCAGAACCTTATCTTGGTTCTGAGCAATTTGATAATGAATAACCAGCCTGTTACCGATGAGCTTCAGTCCCTCTTCGGCCCCAAATGCGATGAAGTCCGTGGTGCTGCACCCAGCAGCATCTAAATCAAGCCAGCACATGTTGGTGTCGACTGGAAGGGTAAGCTTGCCACCAAGGCTTGTCCAGAGTTCCCCAATTCTCTTCGCGGTTTCATGAGACGATTTCAAAAGACCACCTTCACCGTTGGGCCCCTTTCCGAATGTCTCGTCAACGGCGACCCTAGCAGGAGCCGCTACCACTCCAGACTGCCGGAGACCACCGCCGATAGACTTGCGCACCCAACGGGCGTGCTTGATGTGCGCTGCGTCGCCCACAACGATGCTTCCAATCGGAGCACCGAGGCCCTTTGAGAAGCATAAGCTGACCGTGTCGAACAGTGAGCAATATTCGGAGAGACTACCGGCTCCAGAGGCAACAGCCTCCCACATCCTGGCACCATCGCAATGGAGCTTGAGGTTGTTCTTGCGTGCAAACTCTGCGATCCTCTTGACCTCGGCCAAGGGTGTCACCACACCGCCGAGGGTGTTTTCCAAGCTGATGACCCTGGTAGGACATGTATGGACATCGTCATCAAGAGCAGCGTGGGCCTCAATGTCTTCCAGTGTCAGGTAGGCTCCATTACGTGGTACCACGGGCTGTATCATGGCGCCACAAAGCGAGGCAACACTGAAGAATGTTGATCAGTAGATGTCGTATAGTACGAGAGCTATAAGGAGATGCACGAACCCGCCAGCCTCATACTTGATAATGTGAGAGCGGTGGTCACTCAACACGCTGTATGGAGGTTGTGTGAGGAGAGCCCGAAGGGCTACTTGGTTGCCCATGGTCCCGGAGAGCACTAAGAGAGCGGCCTCCTTGCCAGCGAGAGCGGCGACATGAGATTCAAGTTCCATCGTTGTGGGGTCCTCTACGAAGACATCGTCGAGCAAGCTGCAATTTTGAATGGCAGCGAGCATCGAAGCCGTCGGAGTGGTCATAGTATCGCCTTGTCATTATTGTTACTTTACCAGTCTTTGATCAAGCCGACGCCCTTACTTACTTCTCAGGTCGAAGCCCGCGGCCCCGAGATGACCAACCCAAGCATTCTGCTTAGAGGCACTGGCAGTGCCATTGCTCGTGCTACTAACAGCGGCTGGGGACATTGCTCCTGAAATTGATCGGCAGGACGATGTGTGGATGGATGCGGCAAAGCCTGAAAGAGTATGGCGGGTGAGGGCGTTGAAGGTCGTTGACAGCTGCGGGGTTGGCTGGTTACAAGGTCGTCTCAACGTCGCGCGCAAGGCGAATGGAACTGTGGGTGATCGATCGGTTAGTGTTCCGACTTGGCTTCGAGAGATTCCTGAAGGTGGGATGCTCTCGTGTGAGTGAATTCTAGTGCTGTGGCATCGAGCAGCGAGGAGACTGGCACCACGAAGCTGTTTTCTAATGATTGAACTTACCCGTTATCCTGGCAGAGTTCATCTTTTTTAGGGTCTGGCCGGGGCGAGATGCTTTCGTGGGCCGGCTCTATACAAGCTCTCCATACAGATACACAGTATCGGTACGTTATCTAGCAAGTCCGGGGTCGGAGTCGGGGTCGATGTGGAACAACCAGCGACGTTGTCATGAGTGGAGCACTCCAAGTACGTTCCGAGGTACGGATGGTCTTGGACGTCTCGAGAGTTGCCCGACAACAGTGACTATGGACCGCAAAGCTAAGTATAGCCTCGAGCTACTGGTATTCACCATTCAAGTACTTCAGAGGCGGCATATCAAGCTGCTTGTGTCCTAGCAGATATTCATGTCAGTACTTGCTATTCGTGCCTAACTACATAATAGGTAGCTTTGGTTGTATCGACTCGGCAGGGACTCGCCGATTAACCTCGCTCCCTTAACGTTGCTTATCTTATCTCGATCTCCGCAGGGGGCTTTGAAGTGATGACATAGCATGCAGTGGATTGGCCAATGCGTCTCGCAGAAATATTGGAGAAGGATACAAGTTACCTTTAGTAAAGGGACGGTACTCGGTATAATTTTAAATGTTGCAGGAACACCATTGGCATCTTGACATCTCAGCTCTTAGCCTCTTCCTTAGGAGAAGAATGATTTTGTTTCAGGCCAACAGGTGCTTGAATCGAGCAAGCTTCGAAGCTGGGGCCCGTTGGGCTTGGCCCGTGATGGCATTGCTGGAACTTGAAACCTGGGCGGTGGGACAGTGGCTGCTCAGACACACCAAGCTCTGAAGGCCTTTCTTGACCAGGTATTGAGACGAAAGCTTCACCTTGGCTTGTGTTGTCTTTCAGGAGTAGGCGGGGCATTCATATTGAGGGATCGTGAATCCCCGAATCCCCTCTTAGGTAATGGCATACGGTAGTGTGTAAACCCGCACTAGGCAACCATCATCAAAGTCTTTTCTGGTGTTGTTGATCGTGGAGTTCCGCCGACGATGGATTGCGCCTCACAGCTTGCGTAGGGGCGTTACTCAGCACGTTCGGTGCCACACGAGGTTGATCGTCGGGAAAGGAGCGCGACAGTGCTGAAAGCTATCGCCGTTGACCTAGGCGCAGCAATGCCTAGCTTTTATCATTGTCACGCCTTCACCTGTTCGAGAGACATACGGCTGCGTAGGGCCACTGGGCAGGAGTGACTAAGCCCCACTCGGCCTGGTAAAAGCTTCTTCTTGCTACACCCCTGTTGGCGGCACCAATCATGCAGAACGTCCCCTGCTTCTCATCTTTCACATTCACACTATCCACGCACCACGGAACCCCGGATGCTCATGCCTTCTCACGCTCATTATGCTGCTCACTTTCCTTTCAAGGGCGAGATGAGTGCTGTTGGCCATCGCGAGAATGATCGTTGGGCTGAAAACATCAGTGTGTTTTCTTAGACCGTATATCTTCCCCTCCCGAGGCTGGCTCGTCTGATCTACCACCATCAGAATAAAGTTATCTTCTCGGCGTTTCTACATAAACAGAAAACGCAAGCGGTATTGGTCCCACCCTTAATCCTAGGCTCATCAACATCAAATGGAAGGCCGGACGGACGGTATCTTAATGTGCCGGCCAAGTTTACCATTCCTCCGAACACTCCTGGACAACAGGCCACACAAGCACAATCGTAGCCCAGGTGGACACATGTCTGCAAGTGCAAGACACGGGAGACTCACATCCACCTCGAGCTGAGAGGACATGGTGCCGCGGTGTGCCTGTCAGCTTCGACAATGGAACTCGACCGATCTGCTCTTCAATGCAATTTCAGGGGCTCCCTTGGTTTGTATGAACTATGAAGCGCCCGCCATCGCGCTATTAGTGCTACCTTTATGGTAACCTAAACTTGCCCATAGCTGAGCCTTTCCCCGGTAAACCACCCAGCTAGAGTGTGCTACTTTGATCAGAACTTCTGCCTACCTTAGTGTAAAACGTTTCTTTCATTAAAGCACGTGTGCTTGCTTGACTTTGCTTCAGCTCGCCCCCCTACGCTCCTTCCTCTGGCATCTCAAGCTATTTCATATTTCACAGGTGACACCGGTGCTCGAGCCTGTCCGAGCCTCGACACGACCATACACTTTATATCCCGACTGGTTCCTTTCCCTGGTATCCTGCGGTTTACAAACTTCCCCAGTTCTGAAAATATGCAACAAGGCTATTCCCATCAACAAATGATTCGTGGCCCGGATGCTCTCATCTGAGCAGCTCTGCGAAGTGTGTCTTCCTCACACTGCCTTCTGGCTAGGATATCCTTTCTCGCTTCGACCTTTAACGCCGGCCTAGGGTGGACGCTACATTCGCCATAACATCAAATCCGGTCACCAGCTTTTGTTTCGAGAGGTGACGAAACAGCCTCGCCGCGACGACTCAAGACCAAAACGTCTGCCCTTCCGACCAAGGTCGTCATCTATCAACCAACAACTACCCTTATCGACACCATGGTTCTTCAATGGCACGTTGGCTTTCCTGTCATCCTGAAACTTTCATTGGCTATAACGGTCTGCCTCATTTTATACTTTAGCCAACATCCTGCACTTGACAGATTCGACCACCGCATATCAAACCTCGACCTGTCCCTCAAGCTTCCCAAAGGCGGTCTGAATTTCGGAAACAAGAGCGATCATCATGGCTTCTACTCCTCCGATGCTGCCGCCAAGTTTTGCAAGCACCACGGGTACCCCGTCTTCACTCCACAGTCAGAGACTGGCCAGCGCAAGGTATACGACCTGTTCATGGTCAACACAGAGCTCGACTGGATGGAAATACGCTTGAATTCTACCTACGACTACGTTGACTACTTTGTCATCGTTGAGTCTCCAAAGACTTTTACTGGCAGGCCCAAGCCACTCACGATCAAGGAGAATTGGGACCGGTTCAAGCCTTACCATGACAAGCTCATCTACCACGAGCTCGAATTCCCGTCAGACTTCAATCCGAGAAGGTCGTGGGACTATGAAGACTTACAGCGCAACGCCATGTACACCCAAGTGTTGCCTAGGCTTGTGGGCAAGCAGGCTCCGATATACGGGGACGTTATCCTCGTCGCCGACGTTGACGAGATTGCTCGGCCAGAGACACTCTTGGTGCTGCGAACGTGCCAGTTCCCCCGCCGCCTCACTTTGCGTAGCCGGTTCTACTATTACAGTTTCCAGTTCCTCCACACGGGACCTGAGTGGGAACACCCGCAAGCCACTTACTACCAGGGCTCACGCACACTCCTGCCGGCGAACCTCCGCATGGGAGACGGGGGCTTCAAGCCCCTTTACGATCTCGAGAAAGCGAATCTTGGAAACGCCTGCTGGCACTGCTCCAGCTGCTTCGCCACCGTCGATGAGTTTCTCACCAAGATGTCGTCCTTCTCCCACGAGTGGATGAATGGCGAAAGGTTTCGAAACAAGGACCGTATAGCCGACGCCATCAGGAACGGGAAAGACCTTTGGGGCCGGGACGTTGATCAGTTTGTGCGCCTCGAGAATAACACAGATATGCCGAGCATTCTGCTGGACGAGCCGGAAAAGTTTGGTTACATGGTGAATAGGGATGGGCCTTCAGCTGGGTTTACCGACTACCCATGACCGTCCCGGACTCCCGTCTCTTCCTTACTTAATCATGTTTGTTATTTTCTGTTCTGTTTAAATGGGCACATTAGCATGGAGTTACTGGTCACATGGCGGAATCGCATCATCATCGTCTTTTTTCTGGAGGAAGGGATGGATGGCGAATCCAAAAGGGAGGGCACCTGGCAAGTCCTCACGAGCACTAAGAGAACCGAAGCTCAAAGAATTGGACACCCTGTTAAATACATTCTCAACACCCGTGGTCGTGCCGCATTGTTTTGTGGGTGGTGTGAGAAACATTCCAGTTTCTTGATAAAGATGTATCTTAGTGATGTGGATGACATCGAATGAGCGAGCGAGCAATGAGTATTTGAGTGGGTACATGAGTTCCACATTCCATGTTCACCTTACGTGACAGTACGAAGTAGTCATCGACTCACCGAATACCATACACTCACTCGCTCGCTGTGAATTCGAGAAGGTCAGTGAGGTGAAATAAGTCAAGTTAAAGAGCTGAAAACCATTCTTGCCCATCCAGAGAAAATAGCCTAGGTGGTAAAGAGTGAGCGAGTGAGTTGGCGTCCAGTCAGTGAGTGTGGGGTTGACGACGGGAAGCAAGAAGGAAAAGCAGCTGTCCTGTCCGCTTGGCACTTCTGCCACCTCTAGCGTCCCAAGCATCACCAGGCCATCCCTGGCTAACACATCGTGGCATCGCTCATTGAATGGGTCCTGCGGGAGGGGGGATTTTCTTGCCCTCTCCCCCAAATACGTAGCTATTTCCAATAGAGGGCACATTTTCTTTTCACTCTCGTTTATTCTCCAAACCGGTTTCTCCGTTTATCAACCTGTCTGTCTACCTACTTCACTCGGTTTTCCCTTCCTTTTCAACTTTACATTCCTCTCTGTCTCTCTCTCTCTCTCTTCCGAACCTCCGAGACATTGAGAACACAACGCAAGAGACAGAGAGCACACCTCAGCGCAACGGCACCAAATCACCCCTCCTCTCTGTCTTCACCCCATGGGCCCTGCAGCAAAGGGGTGCGGAAGCGTCGGTTGGCGGACCAATCACGTCGCGCCAGCAGCAGATGGAAACCGATGCATTGATGCGCGATGCGCTGGCAGTCTCTGGTCTGTGTGCTGCGCAAAGGAAACGACAATAAGAGAGCGCAAGACTGCCGCTGCTGAACGAGAAGGAGAGAGGGGAAAAAAAAGAGACTGACTTTTTTTTATTTTTTTTAAAAAAAACTAATGAACTTGATATCTTTTCCTTTCTCTTTGGCCCCTCTATTACCTCTCTTTACTTTTTCTCCTCGAGACATCCGATGTTCTTTACTTTGGTTTCTTTCTACTGTTGTCTACCCCTCTCCTAACTCTATCAATTCTTGTACATTCACTCTCTCTCTCTCTCAACACCACCACGCACTGGTGCTGTAGTTCAGACCAGCTCCTGTCGATTTTACGGTGAAGCGGCTCACTTTCTTCACATACTGAGAAGTATATTGCGGCAGCAGAAACCTCATACAAATACAAGGTGGACAAATGATCAGGAGATCGTACATCAGTCATGATATTCATTTCGTCTACTTTCGTAGCATCGTCATGGCCACCCACTCATACCCCGCTCTGCTCCTTTCTACGTTGCTATTTCTCGCTTGAGCGGTGCCGCGTACCAGCATTTCTAGGCTAGATGACCTTCAAATGACTGGGAATTCCGGCGTGCTAACTTCAAAACCAAAGGCAAGCGCCCTGCTTCCAGAAATGCCATCCAAATTACCGCTTGAAAACAGTCCCCTTCCCTCCCGCTCCGGTATATGGGATATGGTGAAAACGCCATGGGGGACCTGGCACGCTTACTGCTGCTAATGCTGTCGCAGACCGACTAACAACGTCAGAAGGTCCATGATTTGGAGGACAATTTTGACACAACGACGTCTCGACACCGAACACCGTGCCGGTTTACCCCCCTCGTCTTCAGCAATCATGTTGCCCCTTTCGAATCCACTGGCCCACAACCCCAAGAGGGATGCGATCGAGTAGGAACGGCAAGGCAGGACAACTGGGCACGCGGCGGATCGAGACACCCAACGCGCGTTAGTGTTAGGCATCACCTGTTCGCCCACTTCATCAGCCACTGTAGCACAGCATCCAAGTTGGTCTCCTCCTTGGCGCTGATGCCGTAGCAGCAGACCTCGCGGTGGCCTATGGACTTGAGGTCAAGCGCATCGATCAGCTCGTCCACTGATAACTTCTGTGGGAGGTCCGATTTGTTCCCCAAAACAAGGAGCGGGATTTCCCTCAGAGATGCTTGGTCCATGAGAGCATGAAGCTCCTCCCGGGCTTGCTGCAGCAGATCCATATCAGCGATATCGACGATGAAGACGATAGCGTTGACGCCACGGCAGTATCTTTCCCACATTGTTCGAAACCGGGGCTGGCCACCAATATCCCAACATTTCAGTGTAACGTGTCCTCGTTGCACCCGCTTCATGTTGAATCCGACCGTCGGGATCGAGCTACACGAGATTTCAGTTAGCCGAAGATGCCGCTAGCCGAGACCGATTACACCAAAGACGGCACAGTAGGCAGTTCTGAGGGGTGAAGAAGAAACGGAGGTCGCTTACTCGATGGTGAACTCGCCGCCCTACAAGTGTAAATGTCAGCGGGCGAACGGGTTTGGTGCGGAGGATGACATGGCAGGTGTAGGAAAGGATTCACTTACTGCAAGGACGCGGAGTAGAGACGTCTTACCCGCGTTTTGGAGACCGATCATCGTCACATCCATCTCTGTCGCCCTGTCGTCGCAAGTCAGCTCAAGCTCAAGATACCATCCCCAAGGATCGAGGGTAAGGGCAGAGTGGGCGCGGCGGGGTAAGGTCAGAGCGCGCGGGCCGTCCATCGCTGAAAATCACCCCCGCTGTTCATCGCGGCAAGCAAAGTGCACTCACCAAAACGTCCTCAACAGCCAGTCGTACACTTTCCGGAAAAGCCCCGCCATGGTGATGGTGGTGGTGTAAAATGAGCGCGATGCGCTGGCGTGGAGGAGGAAGTATGGTATGCGTAGGTGGCCAAATGAGGAGTCGCCAACGTGTGCTGGTCTTGGATCCGGATATAGCGCGACGGTAATAGAGGTTGCGCAACGGAGAAAGGTCGGTGGCGTGGCGATTGCTATTTCGTTCGGAAGAGACGTCGATACGGTGAGAGAAGGAGAGGGAGGAAGGATGGGTGCGGAGTTGTGATTTGGATGCTTAAGTATTCGATGCGCTCAGACGCCTTTAAAAATTGGAAATAAAAATGTCTCGTATGACCCGTGGTAACCGACCAAATGTCGCAAGTCAAATGTCGCTGGCATCGACGAGGTAGATGGCGGCGCAGATTGCTGCTCTGCTTCTGTGCGATGATGGGGGCGGGAGAGACAGAAAGAGAGGCTTGATGGGCGTCGCTGGTTTCTCGTTGGCGGGCGACGACACTGGAACTGAGAGCAAGTTGCGGCGCAGATGCAGGTGCAGACAGTGCAGGCGGCGGGCGGGAACCAGAAAAGAAGAGCGCAGGTGACGCTTGGCCTGGCCTGGTCTGTCTGTCCCTTTGGGGACGGAAGAGGTACCTCGAGCAGCCTGTGAGGTAAGGTAAGGTATAGTAGGTCCCCACCAAAAAAAGACGGGATGGTGAGAGTTGATGGGTCGTGGAAGTGACTGAGTACCTACCCTGGATCTGGCTCCTCAAGCTTGGGGTCGGGGAACCGGGGTCGGGAGGGGAGGGGCACAAGCTGTAAATGAACAGTGCCGAATTTGGAGTCGCAAGAATTGGCGGTTGGGGAAGAAAAGACGACTGAGAATAACCGCGTAGACAGGGTCTGCAGCGGTTACAAGATCACCGACTGGGGGTTCATTCGTTTGCTTCTACCGGATCAGGTGGATCTGCCTACGGTAGGCGCGAGAAAGGTCTGCGATCAGGGACGGTTAATGCGTAATTGTATGCCAACCGTGTGCCGGTGCACCTGAGTTCGGGTGTGAGTGCCTTTGCAGTACGTTATGTGCGGCAGCGGCATGGAAGTCAATCCACTGACGACAGCAAACGGCAGCGGTAGCAGGGATGAGATGCGAGCGTGGCGGCGGCGGCGGAGGGTGATTTTCGACAGGGACCAGCCTACGAGGCGGTTATTCAATACCACGGCGCTCGATCCGACTATGATGGAACTCTTTGGCAGACGTGGATGACTTGACCAGAGTACGCTTCCGTGACCTGATGTGAAATGAAAGCTCGCGGATATGCTCCCGGATGCCAATGCCAAAGGGACGGGATGTGACGGATGGTTGTATTTAGTGCAGGCAGTGCTTGTAATCCGGTGGGCGAACGGCCAAGGTAGGCAGAGGTAGACGGCGACGAGGCGCGATAGCCTAGACGTCCTGGAAGTCACCAGAACCCGATATGAGTGGGTCAAGTCGCTCCTAGCTGGCTTAGGTTGAAGAGTTGCAGCGATTCGAACCGCGGTGTCCAAAGTAAGGCCAAGACATGCAGACTTTCAAGGCTAATAAAGGAGACCCCGAAGTGATGCGGTGGGCGCGAAGATTGGCTCTCCACCTCGGATGTTGTTTAGTAGGCTCCAGGGTAAGGTAAGGTGTGCAAGGCAAGGTGGCTCAGGTGTTCACGTTTGCGGGTGGAAGGGTAGATGAAGTAGATGGCCGATAAATTCCCCAATACAGAAAGATATGTCGAGAAGGGGAAGGTGAGAAGAAGGATGAAGGGCGCGTGAGGATCCAGATTGTTACAGGCGGCACAACTCCAGATCTGTTTGGCAATCCCCGTCAAGCAACCTGCAAGGGCTGGCTGAGTGCGGGCCGAGGCAGGACGGTGCGATAGAGAGGGGAGAATGGTCGTCGGCGTTGGGCGTCTAGTGACGTTGTGACTGTGATGAGAGGCGAGGCGAGAAGCGGGCGGCTCGCCGACAAAGGCGTTTGTTGGTGGCTACCTTGTTTCTTGGAGGATCACCAGCAATGGAGGTCGGGCCAGGTTCTGCGAGCGAGATGAGGAGGCAATACAGGCTGACCTTGGGAGGCAGCCAAACGGGTATTTCGATGGCACGAGTTGAATGAAAGGCGGACCTTGTTGGATGAATAGAAAGCAATGAGACGGGAGCCTCGAGTCTATCAGGAAAGCAGGATGCAGACCGGGAGTATTTAGCAACAACGGTGCATGGTCAGGTAAGGGCCATAAGGTAAGGTAAGGTAAGGTGATGGAAGGGAAGGGAAGGGAGGGACCGTAAGGCAGGCTGGGCTCTTTCTCCAGGCAGGCAAGCACGCGGGCGACAAAAGCTGCAGACAACCCAATTATATTCATGGAAGGAAGGAACCTTTTCCGCAAGATGTACCTTCCACGGCTGGGGGTTAGTATGAGAAGGTTAAGGCAAGGAAGGCAGTCAGTCACCTCAGTCTTACGCCCAATGGAAGGTGCGGCACTTATTAAGCTAAGGTACCTACCTACCTTGCAAGAGATGAGATAATCTGGGCTGTTCTCTCTAAGGCACCTTACCTCACCTTCTCCGTTTCTCCAGATCCCGTACCAGCCAGTAGATGGGGAAGGGGCCATGAGAATAGAGGATGTAGGCGGGCGAGAAGAAGTCAGCATGCCATTTGTTTTTAAATAGCTTGGCAGAACAAATACGTTGGGTTGGCCGGATGATCTGAAAACCAAAGGTCCGAGGGACCCCTCTACTACAGGACAGAAGAAAATCGGAATTTACGCCTGCGATACTCTCTCCCGAGGTAAGGTGGTGTCATCACACAAGTAGCAGGTGTTGGTACCGTCCATTGCCTTAGGTTACCTTGGTGTGCTTAGTGAGGAGGAGTGAGGTAGATAGAGATAATAAGTGCGGAACCACGACCGAAAGCTGGAGAGGACAGGGGCTTGGCAGGTGAGACAGGCAGAGGCCAAGAGGCAAGGGCGACAGCAGATGTTATGCATCCCCCGGGCATCACCCTGCCATCATCTCATGACGGGTGCGGAGTCGCGGAGGCCGTGGACTACCTACACCTAGGTACAGAGAGTGAGGGCGGGAAGTACGTATCGCGAGTACCTCGGTGGGGATATCACACGTACTGTGTAGAATGTCCTTGGAGATGCCTTAGCTCCTGGCCTTGGGGAATCGGGCCCCAGTTAGTGCAGATTGGGCTGCAAGTCGCCAGCTGCTCGCTGTAATTTCTACTAATCAGAAGTCTTCCTTTGCTAGTTGCATTCTTTGGAGACTGCCGGAATCTAGATTCAACGGGGAGGGTACCCATCCACCGCGAGCATTGGTGAGAACCAACGATATCCGGGGGCAAGGCATGACCACTTTTACGCCCAAAGGCCTGACCTGACTTGACCTTACCTCACCTCACCTACCTTACTTCACCTCTCTGCTACCCTACCCTCTAACTAGTGCGGATAACTGTTACACCTTGGGCCACCCAGTGAGGGTTGCTTACCCTGCCTGACGGATTCCAGTTTGGGCTGGGAATTTCATCTTGCTGAATGGTTTCCCTGGCTGGGTAGGCACTACAATCCTATGTGAGAATTCACTGTGCTGATTCGACTCAGTATGATCAGTCTAGTTCATTGCGGCCATGGCGCTGCCACCAACCCAATGTACCATCTCGATCATCAGACGAACAGAGCAGAGTTCCGTCAGCGAACCCGGGCGATGACAACCACCAACCATTGACGCGTCCACTTCCGCCGTCCATTCCCAGTCGTCGGGTTCACATCACGTTGAGTAACCAACCGGGTCCAGTCAAAAGTGACTGAAGTTTCGTGACAGATTAGAGGTAACGAATCATTGGTGTCACAGTCAAGAAAAAGCTGCAGAACACGCAACATCCCATCTCTACGACTAATTTACTTTGGCGTCCACAAGATAAAAAAATTAGTGAAAGGCCTTGTCCGAGGTGAAGGCTGGCGTACGGACGGGAGTGGGTCGGTCTCCGTGGATATCGGGTGCCACTCATAACGGGAACTCCGAGAGCATCTCAGTCCCGGGCGCAATCCCGCAACAGTGGGGTTCCGTCTCCGCGGGCCCTCCATTCCGGAGAAGCATCTCAAGACCAGGGCCCCGCACCTCAGATAGAGCACCGTTTTCGCACTGTCTTGGATAACGGCCTGCAACCTCGACGAGGCCGCGCCATGATTGGATGATGCAATTTTTTCCGCTCCAATCTCCATAATTATTTTTTTGTTTTCACCGAGGACCCGACTGTCGCATCTTAACCCTCTGCGATCCAGAAACCCGGTGCAGTAGGAAGAAGTTTACATTATCGCTCTCCCTGTCTCTGTCGCGTTTGTCCTGCCCAGGGAGACCAGTTCTTGACTTCGTTACATACACATGACATAGTCCCCTGTAAGCCAGCAATTGTTCACAGTGGAAGAGGGAAGAAGTCTCACGACTTAAGCTAACAATACCAGTCGCAGGCAAGCGAACGAGAGAGCGAACATGGCGCCCTCAGCGACAAGCACCGAGTGGGATCACCAATACAATACCGTTCGTCGCGAGAACCTCTTTCGCAACCCCCCGAAGGATCACACGGCCTATCCTGCCCTGCAAGAGGCTGTAAGCCCTCACATCGACTCCTTCAATGCCTTGTTCACCAGCGACGACAAGAGCCTCCTCGCTCGAGGCATAGAGGATATTGGCACAAAGACATACCTCGATGGCGACGACAGGGCTGGCCTCGAAGGCAAAAACCGCCTGTCCGTACGGATCAAGAGTGTAGCGTTGCAAAAGTCCCAGCTACCCCCCTCCAATAAGTTCGCCAGAAATCGTGAAATTCTGCCCTCCGAATGTAGAGAACGCCATTCGACGTACCGAGGCAGGCTATCCGCCACCTTTGAGTACAGGGTCAATGGTGGTGATCCGAAAGAATTTGTGCGCGAGCTTGGACAGGTGCCAATCATGGTCAAGGTGAGCGCTTCTGTGCACCAATTGCAAGACTGACGGCGGGGTGCTAATGAGTGATTCGCAGTCCAACAGATGCCACTTGGAGGGCAACTCTCCGGCTCAATTGGTGCAGAGAAAGGAGGAATCCGAAGAATTGGGCGGCTACTTTATTGTCAACGGTATCGAGAAGATTATCCGACTGCTGCAAGTCAACCGAAGGAATTTCCCCATGGCGATCAACCGACCGAGTTTCCAAAACCGAGGCCAAGGCTACACCCCGTACGGTATCATCGTCCGATCGGTCAGGCCCGATGAGACATCTCAGACCAACGTTCTGCACTACCTGAGCGACGGCAACATGACGTTCCGCTTCTCCTGGAAGAAGAATGAGTACCTTGTACCAGTGATGATGGTCCTCAAGGCTCTCGTCGACACAAACGACCGTGACATCTTCGAAGGACTGATTGGTCTCTCCAACACGAAGTCGGCCAAGAATAGTTTCTTGACGGACCGTGTCGAGCTGCTGCTTCGAACTTACAAGTCATACGGACTCTACAGCAAGACCGAGACGAGAGCCTACCTGGGAGAGAAGTTCCGCGTGGTGATGGGTGTACCTGACACCATGTCCAACTACGATGTTGGCACCGAGTTCCTACGCAAGGTTGTCCTTGTTCACCTTGGTAACATCAACGTCACCGAGAAGGAGGACAACGATAAGTTCAAGATGCTCTTGTTCATGATCAGAAAGCTGTATGCTCTCGTGGCAGGCGACTGCGCTGTCGACAACCCTGATGCTGTCCAAAACCAGGAAGTCCTTCTTGGCGGTTTCCTGTACGGCATGATTATCAAGGAGCGCCTTGAGGAGTTCCTATCGACTGCTGTCAGATTATCTCTTCGCGAATGGACCAGAAAGCACCCAGCCACGCCCTTCACATCGCAGGACTTCGCCAAGGAGTTCCCTGCCAACATCTTCAGACACGCCAACGAGAACCTTGGAAACGGCCTGGAATATTTCCTTTCCACAGGTAACCTGACCAGTCCCTCTGGTCTTGATTTGCAACAAACAGCCGGTTTCACCGTTGTAGCGGAAAAGCTCAACTTCCTCCGTTTCATCAGTCACTTCCGAATGATCCACAGAGGTGCCTTCTTTGCCGAGTTGAAGACAACTACGGTCCGAAAGCTGTTGCCCGAGTCTTGGGGTTTCCTGTGCCCCGTACACACTCCTGATGGTTCGCCTTGCGGTTTGCTTAACCATCTGGCTCACAAGTGTAAGATCATGACCGAATCCGTCGACGCCTCCAAGATTCCCGGCCTCGTAGCAGAGTTGGGAGCTGTGGAGACGTCTTCTGCGGCTACAGACGAAAGCGTTGTCATCATGCTTGACGGTAAACTCATCGGCTTCTGCACACCTCGTGAATCTCTCAGAATCGCAGACACTCTCCGTTTCTGGAAGGTTGAGGGAACTCACGGTGTCCCTCTTCAACTGGAAATCGGATACGTCCCTCCTTCAAACGGCGGCTCCTATCCTGGTATCTACTTATCTTCTGCGCCTGCGCGGATGGTCAGACCCGTGAAGTATCTTCCTCTTGATAAGGTAGACTTCGTCGGGCCCTACGAGCAACCATACATGTCCATCGCCGTTGTTGAGAACGAAATCGTGTCAGGCGAGTCGACGCACGTGGAGGAGACCCCAACCAACATGCTCTCCATTCTTGCCAACATGACGCCCTTCTCAGACTTCAACCAGTCCCCCAGAAACATGTACCAATGTCAGATGGGTAAGCAAACCATGGGAACACCGGCAACGGCTCTTCGGCACCGAACGGACAACAAGATGTACAGAATTCAGAGTGGCCAGACACCGGTCGTACGATCGCCTCTACACAACGCTTATGGATTCGACAACTTCCCCAATGGCTTCAACGCCGTTGTAGCGGTTATATCATACACTGGCTACGACATGGACGACGCCATGATTCTGAACAAGTCGGCACACGAAAGAGGATTCGGCCACGGTACTATCTACAAGACAAAGAAGGTCTCGCTGAAGGAAGAACAGAGAACGCGAGCCACCAAAAACATCACCAAGCTCTTCGGTTTCGCCCCCGGCGGTTTTGTCAAGGGGTTCTACCGTGGCCTGCTTGATGAGGATGGATTGCCCTACGTTGGACGGATGGTCCAAGAAGGAGATGTGCTCTGCGCATGGCACACGGTCTCAGCAGACTACAGCGGCAAGCTGATCAACCTGGATGGACAGACACATTACGAAAAGTACAAGGAGTCTGAGACTGCCTTTGTCGAGGAAGTACGTGTGCTCGGTAGCGAGTCGGGCAATGAGCCTGCCCAGACGATCTCCATCAAGCTCAGAGTTCCCCGATCCCCGGTCATCGGTGACAAGTTCTCTTCTCGTCACGGACAGAAGGGTGTTGCTTCCCAGAAATGGCCCGCTGTCGACATGCCTTTCTCCGAGTCTGGTATCCAGCCCGATATCATCATCAACCCTCACGCTTTCCCTTCTCGTATGACAATCGGTATGTTCGTCGAGTCACTGGCTGGAAAGGCCGGCGCTCTCCACGGATTGGCACAAGACTGCACGCCCTTCAAGTTTAATGAGGAGAACACCGCCGGTGACTACTTTGGTCATCAGCTGATGAAGGCCGGGTACAATTACCATGGCAACGAGCCCATGTACTCTGGTATCACGGGAGAGGAACTGGCCGCCGATATTTACGTCGGTGTCGTCTACTACCAGCGTTTGCGTCACATGGTCAACGACAAGTACCAAGTGCGAACGACGGGACCAGTCGTGCCGACAACCGGCCAGCCCATCAAGGGTAGAAAGCGTGGTGGTGGTATTCGTGTGGGAGAGATGGAGCGTGACGCGCTGCTCGCTCATGGTACGGCCTTCCTGCTTCAGGATCGTCTGCTCAACTGTTCCGATTACACGCGATCCTGGATCTGCCGAAGCTGTGGTTCGTTCCTCTCAGTTCAACCAACCGTGTCACCATTTGTGGGTAAGAAGAAGCAGGTCACGACAGTGCGTTGCAGAAACTGCGCGACCCGCCTCGACGCCGGCGACGCGGAGAGCGCCGCCAAGGTGGAGGGAGAGATCTGGGAGGACGGCCAGGGCAACCAATGGGTCGGAGGCGAGAACACGACGGTTGTCGTTGTTCCGGGTGCGCTCAAGTTCCTGGATGTGGAGTTGGCGGCTATGGGTGTCAAGCTGAAGTACCGCATCGACTCCAAGGACGCGCCTCGCAAGGGCCCCTTGAAGCCCATGAAATCATTACCTTAAGAGGCTTAGATCGACGGCGTTTCGGTAGACAAAAGATGTATTCCACCTTGTACATAAATTATGACTTCTTAATGGACAGAGGTTCACAACGCTTGCCCAAGTGCTTCTCGCCAATCAGTGATAGTTTCTTCTTATTAAGCTCCCATGTTTGGGTTGACCCCCTAGACTGAGTCTCAGCTTCGCCTTCAAGACTTCAAGCCGAAGTCCGAGGGCTTGACAAACGACATAGGTGGTGCGAGCGTAGACTACGTAACATCAGCATGTGTAGAGCAGTCACAATCAGATGCTGAACCGTTTGTCTTATGTAGGATACCGAATTAACAAACAATCATTTGGGCGGACATCGTACAGACAATGTCGGCAGCCGCCTTGTGCAGAGTTTGACAGTCGACTGGCGGCACGGATCTGAGGAATATCTCTGCACTTCCGTCAACCATGGTACAGACTTGAACTAGCAAACTCGTGGCGTACCTGAGAGGCCTCGTGGTATCCAAGGTAGTTGGTGGTGGTCCCTCGTAGCTGTTCAGGCTTTCCTTTCTTGGTCGTTCCAGACCCGACGTATGACGGGAAGCTGCTGTAGCTCACTTGCAGGGTGACTTGATATAGAAATGCCACAGCCGCTGTGAGCAACCAAGATGTCTGAGATTGAGTCAGTGAAATCTTCATACCGGTCTGGCTTCGTTTATCTGCATCTATGCTGAGCTTTCTTGCTCTGGCTGAATAGTTTCACCTGGCTTGATGTGCCACAGCGCCCTGGTCTCTCAGCTATTGTTGTTGACGGATGCCTTCCGACTTGTGCTTGATTACAAAGCAATGCACGATGGTGATACTTCTTGGAACATTGAGAGAAGGTAAGCCATGTCGCATTGTTGTAGTTGGGCAGGAAGGTACGGCACGTTTCGTGCCCGCAACATACCGAGAGCCAAACCCTGTGCCCTCCACTTCAGTCTACTGCTGCTCTCACCAGTACCTACCTAGATGGTGACGCTCCTCTTTCCTCTAACGACTTGGGATTGAACCATGCAGATTTACTTTGTCTCGACGCCTTCCTGATTAATTCTTTCCCGGAATCTAGAGACTGTCATCGGGAACCAGGAAGTTAATTACGCAAGCACCGTACCATTGCGGCTATGCGGCATGCCACTCGCATCCTGTTTGCCTTCTGTAACTGCCTTGAGGTGTGTTTCAGTCCAGAGTGCGTTATATTGGCACGATAAAAATCGTTCGACTCGCCCTTTTCAAATTTCTCTCGGGCAGGTTACCTATTTCCGACACAATTTGGTCGTCGAGACCGGCACTCATCAACATCCAAACAATCCCGGAATTTTGAACACGATCATCTTGCTGTCATCGTCACACCTGGTTTCCTTCTTTAAGGCAATCTGGCTGTGCCGAAATTTTGACCGACCTGGACAGCTATTACTACGACCGTCTGACATCCAACACGTCTCCATACCATCCTATGAGAACACCAACATACATTGTCCTTGTCAACCTTCTCATACTCTTGACTTTGGCCGAGTCGACTGCAATAACAGCGGCGCAGAACACGCGTTCCGTTGCGCCATGCTTCTATGTCTTGTGTTCCTCGCTACTGCCGCAATGGCCATACCATCCCCGTCGGCCTACGACTATGGCTTCGACGCGGCGAAGATGGTCAAGCGCCAGACGCAGGATCCAATTATTGTCACCAAACTACCTTCCATCAACGGAAATATTCCTAACCGCCCCGACATCAGAGAGTTGAAGGAGAACCCTTTCAAGTGGAATCTCTTCCTCCTCGCGTCAAGCATGTTTCAGTTCACGAATCAAAGCGAACAGCTGTCGTGGTATCAGATCGCAGGTAAAAATAAGTGGCCACTATCGCGTCGATTGGCTTTCTGATAGACAGCAGGTATCCACGGCGTTCCTTTCGTGCCCTGGAATGGCGTATCCGGCGTACCGGGAGGCGAAGAAAGGGGCTACTGCACCCACATGTCCATTCTCTTCCCATCGTGGCATCGCGTGTATCTTGCTTTGTACGAGGTTAGATCCCATGAAGTTGTGACGCCACCTGCAAAGTCACTAACATTGTAGTAGCAAATTCTCTTCCAACTCGTGCAGCTGATTGCCTCATGGTTCCCAGACCCCACGGAACGAGCTTACTACCAAGACGCTGCGATAGACTTCCGGATTCCATACTGGGACTGGGCCACTACACCGCCGCTCGGAGAAAGCGTCTACTTAACTGAATTTGAGCAGCCTGCAATTCAATTGTATGGTCCCAACGGATGGCAGACCATTGCCAACCCATTATACAGCTACAAATTCCGGCCGCTGGACCCGCAGGTTTTCTCCCAAGGCGATGTAAGTAGTGAAACCCACTTGATCAAAGAGTAGAAACCTGATAGCACAAGTTTCCCCATTGGACAGAAACAATGAGAGCTCCTTTCGAGACAACGGACAACCAAAGCATAGCGCACTCGATCGAGCATGCCAGGCCTGCACTCCAGCAACGACTCTATACTCTCCTTTCCAATTACAAGGATTTTGAACCCTTCAGCAACAAATATTGGGGGACGGCGTCGAATCAGACGCAATACGACTCGGTGGAGGCCTTACACGATGCCATGCACGTGTTGGTGGGTGACCGTGGCCATCTGTATTACATTCAGTATTCGGCATTCGATCCGGTGTTCTTCTTGCACCATACTATGGTGGAACGAATAGTCGCCATGTGGCAAGTTCTGTATCCTACCGCCTGGGTCACATCCCAAGTCGCAATGGAGCCTTCCTTCACCATGCCGTCAGGGACCGTTCAAAATTGGCTCACGGAACTCAAGCCGTTCTATGCGGACGCCAATGGCACCTTTTGGAACTCGGCAATGGCCAGAGACACCACAGCCTTCGGATATTCGTACGCGGAAACAAATCCGAGTCTGGGAATCCACAAGTCTGAAGAACAAGCTCACCTCATAGCAACTATCAACAAGCTATACGGCTCGTCTAGTCCCTCGGGTCTGGCCTGGAAGCAACGGAGGGCAACGTCCAAAAGGGAACGGGGCCCGCTATCCCAAGTTCGAAAAGGAACTACTTCGAAGCATGTGCTAGACTTTTCACGAGATCCTGACTTTCAGACCAAAGTAGCGACTGAGGACGACATGTACACCGAATGGATTGCCAATGTTCACGTTCAGAATGGGGCATTGAATGGCTCGTTTGCAATCCATTTCTTCCTGGGTGAAGTCCCCGAGGAGCCCACTGCTTGGGCATCTGCACCGAACCTTATCGGATCAATGAGCGTATTTGCGATGAAGAACATGGGTTCAGGTAACCATGTATCCGGGACAGTTCCTCTGACCTCGGCCTTGGTGCACATGGTTTCGGCGCAAACTATCTCTGGGCTCGAACCCGATGAGATCGTACCGTACCTTGTGAAACATCTCCAAGTCCGGGTTCTCGGAGAAGGGTCGAGTGAAGTTGAGGCAAGGACGATAGACAGCCTACACATCCAGATCGCAAGCGCTCGTGTTCAAGCATCTAGGAACGAGTGTGAACTTCCAAAATGGGGTCCTATGGTGGAGAGGTTTGTGCTGAGCCTCGGCTGATGTCGTCTCTGCGTTACCATTGGGAAAAGACTAAGTTACGGGAATATTTTCCTGGATCCATTGATTAGAAGACTTAGAAATAGCTGCTTTTTAACGTGTAATTTGCTTTCGCCTTTCCGCCATTAAGTTGACATGATGAGAGGTGAAGCCGACAGTCACGTGGGCCTAGTTGATGTGACTCAGGTACCCTCACGACTCACATTGAGCGTAGCCCCACTTCCCAGAAACGGGATAGCAGCTTTTCCGAAGCTTCAGCCTTCCGTCACCCAGGACTGCCAACCTCAGTCGTGAGGTCTCGCATCCAGCCGCCTTTCCATTTGACGAACGACATCCTCAACGCACGAACGCCGCCGCCGCCAAAATGAAACTCGTCAGGTACGCGCAATTGATCGCTCTTTACCTCCTTTTGCCGTCAATCTGTGTGCTGAGCTTTCCTTCTCAGAGATGCAGAAGGTCGCTCGCCGTAAAACGAGGCCAAAATAAAGCTGACCAGAACTTCCAACAATTAGATTTTTGATGAAATGCGCCAATGAGACGGTGACAATCGAACTCAAGAATGGTTAGTAGACTCTTGCCCTTCTTTCCCACCGCTCTAAAAAGTTGCGCAAAGCGCTGCACATCGTTTGCCAGACCGAATACTAACGCGTACAGGCACCATCGTCCACGGCACCATCACCTCGGTCTCGCCGCAGATGAACACGGCGCTGCGCACAGTCAAGATGACACCGCGGGGCCAGGACGCCGTTTCGCTCGATACCATGAACATCCGCGGCTCGACCATCCGATACTTCATCCTGCCCGACTCGCTGCCGCTCGACACACTGCTCATCGACGACCAACCGAAGCCCAAGAACAAGGCGCGCAAGGAGGCGGAGCGCGGCGGCCCTGTCCGCGGAGGAAGAGGCGGCCCCAGAGGAAGAGGCCGTGGTCGGGGACGCGGTCGCGGACGTGGTTGAACTGAGGTTAATGGGACAAAATGAAGACGCGCTGTTTTTTTTCGACGAGGGCCGACCGTCGACACCTGTTGTTCTTGGTTTACTGGAACGACACCGACAATTTTGATGGGCGCCGAGAAAGATTTCCTCGCTCAAGGAAAGAAAGACGGAAATGGTCGCTTGTGAATCATGAAGAAACTCTTCACGGGGGTACATATCTATGCCCAACCCCCTTAGGGACGACGGACCGTCGATGAACTTTTTTTTTATTTTACAGTTTGGGCCTCGAGCTTGAAAAAGAAGGGTACCCCTACACATTGAGACCAACCGGATGCTATTCAGGCGTTGGGGGTGGTTAGGAAATAAAAAAGACTACAATTCCAGTAAAATGAACTACACGTCTCCCAACTGGGTGTGCCATGAGGCTGGTTTGCAAGCACAATCATGCGGCCGAAGTAAAGACGCGTACATGTCAACGACTGGTCAAGATGAAAAGATCCACTATTGTTCACGTTTCTACGTAGAGTGTTCCTCCGTCTCCCTCCACACCCTAATGATCTGTAACTTCTCCCACCCAGCCTTCTTTCCGCTCTCCCCGACCGTGACAGCCCTCCACCCGCCTCCGAACCCTTCAATCCGGCCCTTGACCTCGTCCGGCTTGTTCTGCGCACACAACAGGATGTAAGCGCACCCCCTCGGGCTCAAGACCTCAGGCAACGCCTCAATCAACCGATCCGTCGTCTCCATACCGTCCCGCCCGCCCGCGTACGACAGCGAAAGCAGGTACGAGTCCTCGTCAAAAGTCGTCTTTGTGCCGGCGCTCGCGACGAGCGTGGCCGAGGACTGCGTGGGGAGCTCCGGGGACGGGACGTAGGGCGGGTTGAAGACGAGGACGTCGACGCTGCCCTGGCGTAGAGGGGTCGTGAGGTCGCCCAGGGAGGCGCCAAGCCAGAGGGGGGAAGGGGAGGCCGTGGACGGGTTGTCGGCGACGGCGCGGCGGACGGTGGATGTTGTGGCGTGGCAGGCGTGGCCGTTTAGGTCGATGCCTGCGGTGAGGACGGTGGGTGTGCCGAAGAGGGTTGCTGCGTGGGCGGCGAGGAAGGCTATTACGACGCCGGAGCCGGTGCCGATTTCGACTACTAGTGGGACTGCTGGCCTTGACTTTGGTGATGGTGATGGTGGCGAGGGTGATGTCTCGCTGCCGAAGCGTGATGTGAGGAATGAGGTCTCGGATGAGGCTGACAGGGTGTCTAGGAGGAGGTACGAGTCCTCTGCCGGCTCGTACACACGCTCAAATGGGACGTGGGAGGTATCTGGTGTGGGCAGCATGATGGATGAGGCCTATGAGGGGTGTGTAAGTCTCACTGAGGTTGATGCCAAGGGTTAGGAATTCTTACAAGCTGTGGTTGGGTTTTGATGTTGTGAAGTGGTCTCAAAATGCAAGGTTTCTGTGCTGATTCCGTTAATGCTTCTTCAGTACTCGGCTTTGTGAAGGGCCTTGCTGGTTTGAGACTCGATAGACGATGGCTCGATGGAAAAATTCATGTGAGAAGACTTAAAATCTGAGATACTTCTGTCGGACGAAATTTGTGGGGTTCATATCACTCACACCAACCACAGAACAAAATCACGATTCATCCACCTGCGTTATAATACGTTTATGGTCACCCAGAATATTTGTCAAAATGTACATAATTTGAATTGATGTTAATATAATCATGAAGAATTCATAAATCTTGAATGATAACTACAAAATGATGTATGCTTGCTCAAAAACCCAACATGTCTAGTCGATGATACCATCGGGTAAGAAGCTGACATAGTCCAAAGGAGCGACCTCAGGCCCGTCAGGTGTGCCAACAATCTTAAGCGTATCGCCCTTGGTAACCTTGACACCGGGGAAGTTAACACGGATGGCAGAGTGTCCATCCAAGAACTCGGACGGCCAGTGGCCCAGCTTCTCTTCGCTGTTACCTCTCCACTGACCGACGACAACGTCGTTAATGTACGCAACGTACGAGCACTTTCCTCGAATGACGTCAAAGTAGTTGACGGCAAGGGTGTACGTTCCGGTCTCGAACTCGACCGTGGCGGACGCCGTTCCGGCCGTCGTGTTGGAGCTCGTCACGATGGCCTTGTAACCCGACGCCGCCTCAAATGGGTCTACGTCGACGACCTTGTACCCGTCCAGCGTCATGTGCTCGGCCTCGATGCGGTACTTGTAGTTGCCAACGCGTCCCGCCTCGTCGGGGATGCTCGACTTGTTCCAGTAAAAGTTGTTGATGGAGTCGCGCCAGACGAGCGAGTGGCCGGCCTGGTACTTGAGCTTGAACAGCACGTGCTCGTAGCGCTCCTCGTCGACAAGGCCCTTGAGGGACTCCCACTGCGGCACAAACGTCTGCGCCGTGGCCGATCCGTCGTAGTGCGCGTCGTAAAAGTGCTGGATGACCGTCTTGCCGCTCTTCAACTTGTGTGTATAAGGCACGTGGTGGAACCAGAGGAGCAGGTCGTCGGGGGTCGTCTCGATCTCCTCGTACATGGCCGCCACCTCGGGAGGGTACTGCCCTGCGTTTCTCGTGCCGTTCTTGACGGTACGGTCCATGCCGATACTGTCTCCGTCTGCTCTGGTCCACTGACCCCAGCTGTTGCCGTCTTGGCTGCGGGGGCTGAATTTGGAGTCAGTCACGAAATACAAGTTTGAGTGTGTCGTCTTGCTTACCTAGGACCGTAATGGGCGTAGAGGATATCAGTCAATGTCTGGATGCCCAAGTTGCCGCTGTAGCTCTCGTAGGCAGGCCAGCTTTCCATGGACATCTTGGTAATGGTATCGACGATCTTGCGGTCAACGCCGAATGTCAGACGGGTCCAGTCTTGGACAATGGTAACAACGTCGTCAGCGGGGTTCCACGCAAGTCTGCCGTAGGCGTAGAGGTTGGACATGGCCAGATGGCTTCCAAGCCATGTCGAGTTCGCGCCTACGTTGATGACACCAGCATAGCCGCCGAGAGGCCTGTTGAGGCGCTTGCCAGACAGAATGTCACTGACAACAGACGGCTGGCCGTCAATGCGCAAGTCAAAGTCGAGGATCGTCTTCCAGAGAGGAGGGAGGTAGACCAAGTGGTCCTGCTGGCCGAGGTACTCCTGAGAGATTTGCAGCTCGATAGCCATGCTCGTGTTCTTCAAGTTGGCAAACAGGGGCGACACGGGTTCCCGGACCTGGAAGTCAATGGCGCCGTATTTGATCTGGACAATGACGTTGTCGTCAAACTGGCCGTCGAGGTGCTTGAAGAATTCGATCTGGGCGTTGGCGCGATCAGCACGCCAGTCGGACTGATTCAGCGTGAGATGGTCGTAGACAAAGGCCCTGAACATGACGATGCCCTTCTTGGAGCCGTGGTTCTTGAGCTCCCTGGCGAAGAGGTTGGCGCCATCTGCCAGCGTCCTATTGTAGGTCAGAGGGCCGGGCTGACCCTCTGAGTTGGCCTTGACCAGGTATCCGGCCATATCGGGAATGCGCGCGTAGAGCTCATCGGTGATATTTCCCCACCAGGCAATAACGGTCTCGTCCAGGGGGTCGAAGGTGGAAAGATTGCCGTATGTCTGGGGTGAGGCGAAGTTGAGGGAGATGCCCACCTGAACACCCCATGGCCTGAACGCGTCGGCAATCCTCTTCAACCCGTCCATGTTCTCGGGGGAGAGGAGGATGGCATTGGCGTTGACGTTATTGACGATGATGCCGTTGATTCTGGCGGAGGCCAGTAGACGGCCGTACTGGGAGACGCGGGTCATGTCGGTGACGACCTTGAGGTTCTCGAAGAAGATGGAAACACCTCCGTACTACTCAAGTCAGACATGTTCGTATTCAGTCGCGGGTTGAGGAGGAGGAGGGAAGATTGCTTACACCACGCTCAATGCTGCCATGAGTTCCTGTGCCATCCATGTTGTCCCATTGGTTTGCCCATCTGACAGGAGCAGAAGGGTTTGTCGCATAAGTCACCTCGGTGAAGTTACCCTGGGCCAACAGGCTAAGGTACTCAAAAGTACCGTAGAGAGCGCCCCTCTCGTTCTGTCCCAGAATCTTGACACCATCACCCTTGACACTAAGCCAGAAGCCATCCTCAATGAGGTCCGCTTGAACACCGTCACTTCCACAAGCAGCAACGTAATCATCGACAGTAGCAATGACAACGGAAGCAGCAGCACAGGCATCCTGGCTGACAGAGACGTCTTTACCGAGGATGCCTCGGTAACCCTTGGTCAATTCGGACAAGGCAGAAGCAATTGGGCCGTTTTCTGTCGCATTGAGGCCGATGACGGTAGAGGGAAGGGATTCGGCGACGCCGGAAGAGTTGCAGTCTGGAAGCCGAGCGTAACGCAACCAGCCGTCGAGGCCGTCCTCTGCGGCAACGAGGCCGAGAGAGGCGAGGAAAAGAAGCTTCCACATGACGTGCAGTCGGCGGAAAGAGGTGCTGCTGGCGAGAAGAACCAGTTGGAGAGGAGCACTTGTTCCAAAAGGCCCGTTACATGGTAGGATCGGGGATGCGCGAGTTTATAAGAAGAAGCGCTGGTTCGTTCATCGACACGCGAGCCTCACTTGGGATGGGATTCCCAGATCTGCGGGACTCGCAGGACCAGGAACAGGAAAACATTATTTTTCCCACAACCAGGCCTTGTCAAGTCCGAAGTCTCCAAGGGTTCCCGGGTCCCAATGCAACCGGCCGACAGCGGTGATGAGCAGATGGGGTTGACTATTGTATTCAGGCTAAAAGGAAAGCCGACATATTCATCCATGGCTTGGGTGTGGGGAAGCTCTGGGGGAGCCCATCGACGTCGGGCTACCAATCTAACGTCTTCCCGAACGACTTCAATGGATCCTTCGACAATGTGACCCCTTTTATCTTGAGTCTAAACAGCGACATGCGGAGAAATTGGCACTAGCGGAGAGAACCTTGACTGGGGGGCAGGAATTATCATTGGATTTCGGGCTTGGAAAGGGGAACTCGTCCCTGTGTTGAGATACAGGAAACCAACCTTAGGAAGGTTTCCCTGGCCAATCTAAGGTGCCTGACATGACTTATATCTCGTCGTACCAGGAGGACAAAGACAACGGTGTAGTTTCCCTCAAAACAAATGGACCATGGTTGAGTTATAGCAAGTGAGCGAAGAAACGTCTGATGTTCACATTTCCCCGCATGGCGGAGAGAGAGAGGAAAGCGTGGGGAGAATCGGGGAAAGGAGGGTGGGGAGAGGAGACGGGAGGTAAATTTTCGAAAAGAAGCCCAAAAAGAGAGGGGAAAAGCAGCTCCCAGGTTCGGCCGGCACTGCTTCAGGTATCCATGTTCCGTGGATGACTTCACCGGCTCGGGTTGCCCTTGCTTCTTTTTTCCAGCTCTTTCCTCCAGGACTGATAAATTCTTAGGGAGTAATTCACCAGCTCGGGCCTGCAATTTTACTCCTCTCTATGCGGTAGAAACGTTAATTTCATGACTCAAGTCAACATGAGAAAGTTGTTAGTGATCATTGACTATTACGCAACAAGGCCGTAGCAGGATAATTCCAGCGTGTGCTACTGTTTATTGTTCCCCTTTTGAAGGTTCCTAGTCAGTCAGTCGACTTCGGCAGAGCTACCCCGACCCCGAAAACCCCAACGGCCCAGCTTCAATAACCTCGCCTTTTCTTCTTTTGCTCGTCCCCCCCCCCCCCCCGGCGCGCCAATGCCCTCTCTCCTCGGTTGTCAAAATCGAACCACGCAGACAAAACTTCCTGGTGCTTTCAACACCCATCAGCTAGAATCGTCATCGCGTCTTGGCCCTGGATAAATACACGTTAGCCCCAGCACTAACTCATCTGCGCCTCAGCCTGCACCCCCCGGTCACCAGCTTCACTTACCCAGCTTGGCAATTCCATCCACCGCACACCTCGACCCTCCCACGTGCCTCCTTCGTCTCTGCACTTTTCGCCTTCATGATATCCGTAAATTCCACCGTCTTCACATGACAGCGCAGCAGGCAACCTCAATCCCCGCGTCCTGCTTACTCGGCCCCGCCCCGATCTTGATGCCGTGCGAGATCTTCTTGATCACTCGCGCCTGGTTCCGGTCGTAGAGTCCGTACAGGTCGTGCGTCGGACACGGCCGCTTGTCCGCCATCTGGAGCCGCAGAGGCTTCTTCGCGATGCCGCTGCCGAATTGTCCGCAAGTCGTGTAGCCCATGCCGGGGCCGCATTGTACGGCGATCTCGCCCCAGACGCATTTGCACTTGACGTGCTTATAGATGAAGACTTCGCACATCTTTTTCTCTTTGCAAGCGTTTTGATATGGCAATGGAACGATGACGTCGAAAAAAAAAGTCTTGCTTGTGCAGTTCTTAGTCTTGACTGCTGTGGAACGAAGGGTACCTGGGAGGTGTGGGCTAAAGGTGAAGTTTGGGAAGGTGGATGGTAGGTAGACGCTACTTCCAACTTCAGATTACAGACACGAGATATCCCCAATGTGCTGTTCACTCATGAGTAGCCTTGCCTTTGAAGATACCTGATTCAATACTTTTAGGCATGCTTTCTACTTATATGAATAACGCCACACGCCAGACCTTTGCACCCCCGCGTCTGCCAATGTTTGCACTACAGTTACGTGGCTAACTGGGTGACTGGGTCAGAGGCGCTTCTCCATCGCGAAGGGTGCTACTCTCCCCAGTACCGAAGCCTCGGTCAGAGTAATCTTCGGCGTCCAGCATGCGCGCCAGTAAGGCTTCGATTCTCAGGGACGTTTGCTCGAGAGAATCTAATCTGCTGCCGACGTCCTGCATATCTTCGCTTCCCGTAAAGGACCCGCGCAACTTGGACGACACGCCCGGGAACATCGAATCTCTCCTAAGAGGCGACTTCTTCCTCATGGTGTCATTCGTAATGGACCGGGTGAATTGTCGCCGGATGAGGTGGTGTGTAAGCTCGTCATCCACCGCAATCTCCTCCTCGACGGACTCGGGCGGTGGCAGGTCGAACACGGCTCTTATGTCGCGGTGGGCCGTTATGCGCCACTTCTCCCAGAACCATTGCTTGACCCTCGGGTACAGCGTCAGGCTGCTGGACTGTTTCTTCTCCGGCTGCGGCGCTGGCCAAAGGATTCTGCGTTCCGCCACCGCGATGATCAGTAGCAGCGGAAGGTTGACTAGCCGAACGCTGGCTACATGTATCTTATGGAACCATCGCGGGGTGAGGATGAACTTGAGCGGAATAAGGATGAAGACGGCTAGAATGTTGAAGGGGGGCTGGTACGCAAAGATGGCATCGCCCTTGACTCCTTCTAGTGTCAAGACAGCCTTGCGGAACATTATCTCTGCAGTCGCGTTCTTAACGATCGTGCTAAATGTATTGGAAAGCATCGAGACAAGGATGGTGAGGAACAAAGTGTTTCCCAGGAAGGCGAAAGCGACCATTAGGACAGGACCTAAGATGGGGTGAAATTGCACCTGGCAAAAACACTATTAAGCTTGAAATTCAATCGAAAATGGGGGAAGAGATAGGGGTTCTTACCGATTCGTTGATGCCCGTCCCGTCAAGACCGAACCAGATCCAGAGCATCCACTTACTGATAGTGCTATAGTTGGGTTAGAAGCTGTAAATGCTCGGCCGGTCCCTAGAGATAACTTACACAGGAGGATGTGCACCTTCACCAAGCCACAGAAGCGACAGTAGAAAGCCGCCGAAGCACCAAGCTGACAGAAACGTAAGAAGGACAAAGTCCGACATCATGGATCGCAAGGAGAGGAAAACCAGATTATCCGATAGCAAGTTGAAGGCAAGACGGGGGACCAGCACCGGGGCACCCATCGCAAGTACGTCGAGAGCTTGTTGTTTTGGAACAAGTTCTCCGACTCGGGCTCCATGGATGCGCAGTACAGCGTATACAATATAGATGCCAATGAAGCCAACATCAAGGAAGGACCACAGATTCTGGGTGTAAACGTGCCTGACTTGTCGTAAGTGACGCTGCTGTTTATAATAAGAGATGGGGTTTCTTACCAGCCATGCTCCAAAATAGTAGCAAATTGGTCGAGGGACCATCCAAAGGCATAGACAGCGAAACAACCTTCCAAGACGGTGAAAGTCTCCGGCTTTCGCTCGGCCATAACAAAGAGATAGAGAGCCAGCAGAATCAGGAACTGGAAAACCTCGAGAATGTTCCTGGTACGAGGCACAAGCAGTCGATATTGGTCCAGTAAAGGCCCTTCGCGTGGGTTGTAAAGCGAAATAGGCTTGAGTTTGTAGTGATCTGGAATAATATCCATAAAACTCGAAGGGGTGTAGACAATACGGCCTTCGTAGATGGCATCGACGCTTGAGACCATTGTTAGTGTCTGCTCAGAGCTTTGATCCGCAAGGCGAAAACCTACACTTTCTGGCAAGGAGTCGCACTGAGGAAGTATTTACTCTCAGTTAAGATGGCAACTTCGAGCGAAGGAAGCATGCGGTTGTAACTGCGGTAGGACTCCGTTGAAGCCGCCTCACGAATCCCAGCAGGTGCCATTTGAAAGGGCTCAAAACCGGCAACCAGGATGTGTGCTAGCAGCACTAAACCATCAGGCCCTTCATTGTCTTCGCTGAAGCGTCTCAATATCCGCGTTGCAACCAGCTCGCAGAGAGCTGCGCGACTGTAATTGACATTTTGCCGATTGTTCAAGTGAGATTGCTCATATAAAAACTGAGCGCGGTTCACGAGCAGACAATAAACTGGCGACAGTCAGGTTATCTGCAACAAAACAACTCCGAGCAATCGAGATCGGTCTCGGTTTCTGCGAGAAAGGGGATCGAAGCGAGTGAGGCAGTGAACTTTGAACATACCTATGGAGATGTCGTCGAGCTCATACAGCTTGTCGACGAGCGGGCGGACGACGGCGATGTTGATACGCACATCACGAAGTTGTTCCAAGCTCAGGTAGTCTTCGACAATGGAGATGATGTCTCGTCGTATACGGTGAATATTCGTGTATACTGGCAAGTGACTGTGAGGATTGGTCATGCAGCCATAGAGAGGAACTTGAATCTCAGAGGTGTGACTGGCACGGTTCCGTTGCAGTAGCGGCCGTTCTTCCGGAAGCTGGAGGCGTGCCCGGCGGGTGCGCTCCGACATAGTATGGCCGGGCTGTATCGAGATTCCCTTCGTGATGGTATAAAACGTAGTGTAGGCGACGATGATGCGGCATATGGCTGAAGCTAGGGTCGATAGGACACTCAACGTGTGGACAGAGCTCAGTCGTACGTAATAAGTGAGCTATAGGATGTTTGGCGGAAGAAATCGGCGATGATGGTGAGAAGACGGCGCGAGACACCCGCGTGGAGAGTGGCAAGTTAGGGGCTGCCCCCACGCTCTCGCCTGTCACAATCTGAGTGGGTTGCTCAAGTTGCTAGACAGCCGGGGAGTCAGTTACAGCCAGGAAGTTGCAACACCAACAACAAATCCTAGAGTGGTGGCGGGGAGTTGGTAGCAGGGTGACCGCAAGAGACAACAAATGTTGGCGCCTTACAGATAGCAGAGATGACGCAGATATCGGTAAGGTAGATATTAGATAGGATGCGGATGGAGTAGGACAGGGGACGACACGGCTCTTGGCTCCACGGGGCATGGGGACGCTAAAAGTAGAAGCACATCTGCCTTCAATGCGAGCCTGAGCCCGACAAGGTGGTCTGGGGTAAATAAGGCAAAGAAAGAGTTGCCCGCGCGTCAAGTTTGTGGAATGTGATGCTAAGCCAGAACTAGCATTCATGAAGCGGCAGCGGCGGCACGCAGCAAGTGAAGCATCAACCGCGTCTAATACGGGGCATGCAGACTGCGTATAGTGATGGAGCGAGCCGCAGAAGCAGCAGAGGGAAGAAGATACGCCAGGCCACTACAGAACAGAAGGACAAAGGAGAAGGATAGTACACACTGACTCAGTACCCACGTTGCGACGCGGCAATGTTGCTGTCCCTCCAGTTGTTCAGGAATCTCTGTCTCTGTTCGTCTGGTGTGTGTGATCTCATAAATGACGACACATGCGTTGCGCGAACGCCCGGTTGTGTCCGAACTGTCTTGTCCTCAGCTTCTGCAATGTGCGTTGCAACATTAATTGGATCCGTAATTGATGGGAAAAGAAGACTGAGATAACAAGCACTCGCGCTAGCAAGCCTTCTGGCTCCTACTGAGTAAGGGGGGACGGGAGTTTGAAGTCGTGCACGGTGCCTCTCACCTTGCTTGGGCTGCCAACTTTTGTCGTCCGAGGCAATTCGAGGCTACTCTTTGCTGCAGTTCTTCAGCTGAGGCATGGCACACCTTGCAGCATCCAGCCTGAATCCAAGTGATTGGGCCAAAGATTGAAGTGTCGTACTGGGGCACTGAGCGGTGTGTGTAGTCAGCCCCTCCACGTCCACATCCCACGTCTTCTGGACTTGACGAGTCCAAGAAAAAAGAGCGCTAGCCGCATCAAGCGTCAGAGCTTAGTTGCTTGTATTACATAATGCCAGTCTTGGCCGACGACGCGCACCAAAAAGTTGCTCTGAACAGTGCCCCCTAATGAACTCTGTCTTGCGGTCAGTATTGGCGGGGCTCATATAGCTGTCTTTACATGTTGGAGCTCATCAACGCTCGCGGCGTGGCGGTCGATGCTCTTCAACGATACCCCTTTTATGATTTAGCCGCGGATGCCAATCATATATCGTTTCTCGGACGCTTTCTGAAGCTCTCAATGATGGGGAATATTTGTTCTTTTTTTCATTGTAGGATAAAGTGCGGTAAGCTACGAGTTTCATCATCGATGCTCCCATTCATCCCTCCGTTGCGCATTTCCTATACGCCAGACGTGTCTCATCAATTTTTTAAACCCCAGTCCTGCCCAGTCTTCCGGAAAGAATACTATCATCGGACTATGGAACTCAAAAGCTCATCTTCGTAATCGCTAAACCACTTTACAGGTTGACAGACTTGCGGAAGTTGGCGCCGGCGTAGACGGCGTTCTCGCCAAGCTCCTCCTCGATGCGGAGGATCTGGTTAAGCTTGGCAAGGCGCTCGGAACGGGCCGGGGCACCGGTCTTGATCTGGCCAGCCCGGATACCGACGACAATGTCGGAGATGGTGACATCCTCAGTCTCACCGGAGCGGTGGGAAACCATGACACCCCAGCCGTCGGCGTAAGAGTCCTTGGCGGCCTGGATAGACTCGGTGAGGGTACCGATCTGGTTGACCTTGAGGAGAAGGGCGTTGGCAGCCTTGAGCTCAATGGCCTTCTTGATGCGCAGGGGGTTGGTGACAGTCAAGTCGTCACCAACAATCTGGATATCCTGGGTCTTGTAGAAGTAGCTCCACGCCTCCCAGTCATCCTCAGCGAAGGGGTCCTCAATGCTGACAATGGGGTACTTCTTGGCAAGGTCAGAGTACTGCTGAGCGAGCTGCTCGTATGTGATCCACTTGGTGGGGTCGCTGTCGGGGTTCTTGAAGTCGAGGTCGTACTTCTTGGCGTCCTCCTTGTAGAACTCGCTGGAGGCAACGTCCATGGCGATGTTCATCTGACCAGTGTATCCGGCCTTCTCAATGGCCTCGGCGATGAGCTCGAGGGCCTCCTCGGCAGTCTGGATATCGGGGGCAACACCACCCTCGTCACCGACGTTGCCGGCAGACTGGCCGTACTTCTTCTTGGCCAGACTCTTCAGGATCTGGTAGACCTCGGCACCCTGGCGGAGGGCCTCGGAGAAGGAGGGGGCAGCGCTTCACAGTCGTTAGCTGATGGGAAAAGAAGAGGCTAAAGGGGCCTCGGTACGTGGGTCAACTTACGAAGGAACAATCATGAACTCCTGGAAGGCGAGGCGGCCACCGGCGTGGGAACTGTAGCATGGAGTGAGCAAATATTTGATCACAGTAGCAGCAAGGAATCGCTTACCCTCCGTTGAGGACGTTCATGAAGGGAACGGGAAGGACGTAGGGCTTCTTGGTACCGGCCAAGTCGGAGACGTGGGCGTAGAGAGGGACACCCTTCTCAGCAGCACCAGCCTTGGCGACAGCCAGGGAGACACCGAGAATGGCGTTGGCTCCGAGCTTGGTCTTGTTGGGGGTTCCATCGAGGTCGATGAGGAACTTGTCGACCTTGGTCTGGTCCTTGACATCAAGGTTCTCCTTGATCAGAGCAGGGGCAATGACGGAGTTGACGTTCTCAACAGCCTTGGTGACACCCTTGCCAGCCCACTTGGTCTTGTCACCATCGCGGAGCTCGCAGGCCTCGTGCTGGCCTGTTCATTGGGTATCATCAGCTTCTCGGTACTTTTTATCTCTCGGTAGGGGTAAGATGCGAGGACGAAGACGACGTACCAGTGGAAGCACCGGAGGGGACGATGGCACGGTGAAGGCCTGTCTCGGTGACGACGTCAACCTCGACGGTGGGGTTGCCACGGGAGTCGTAGACGTAGCGAGCGTGGATCTTGGTGATGGCCATGTTGTCTCGTGTGATGGATTTGTTCCTAACGAAGAGAGGGGAGAGAGGTCAGTAGATGGTCGTGGGGGAGGGAAAGGCTTTATATTGGCAGAAGGCAGAAAAGAGACAAGTGGGTGAGTCAACAATGTGATAGGACCGATTGGGGGAAATTGCTAAGCTTGCAAGTGCTCGCTCCTTGACCGGACAGCAAGAATTGCCTCAGGGTGGGATGGCATGGTGGGGTGATTCTTCGGACACAGCTTGCAAGCTCCCAGCTGTTTCCCCAAGGCCATCGCCAGGTGCAGTGGAGTGGAAACGTATGATGAGACAACTTACTTGTGGAGTTTTGATTGATAGAGCCGGAGTAAGACCTCAGCAATTACCTGCGTATGAAGAAAGACGATGAGGTTGAAGTGATGGAAGAGAGGTTGATGGCAACAGAGGCGGGGGTGAGGGACAGCAGGAGCACGGTGGGAGCGGATTGTTTTGGAGGGGTCGTTTCCCTCCTCAGGTAAGGGTAAGGTAGGTAGGTAGGTACCTTCGTTTGCAACCCCACCTGCCCTGCTGCTGCACCGGAGTCCTGGCGTGAGGTGAGGTACCTGCGGTAAGGTATCATAAGTTGCTTAACTTAGCTCGGGCAGGTGCCCACGGCGCCATTGGATCGCTCAAAAGATTGGGGGTATCTTGGACGGGTGCCCAATCGCTTTTTCTCGAGACGAGGCGGGGCATCTGCCCTGTTAGAGCGCTACATGGGCCCCAAGCTCCAAACGGCCAAGAATATCACAAACCAGCTTCGTTTCAAAGTATCTTTGGTACTGGTCTTAGCACCGCCTCACCACGATAAATGCATCTTTGGTGAGGGCCGCTTCTCAACAAACCAAGCAATGAAAACGCTGCCCTGCCAAAGCGGCCAGCAGCTGGGAGGGATCTGGAACACGTTTCTGCCCTTGTCTCTCTTCATTGGGTCGTTCTCGCTATTCTCGTCCCTCGTCCCCAGCCCCGAGTCCGGCCTCGTAAATTCTATGGCTTTCTATTTCTTTTCCAGGTGCCCTAACTTAATGACCTCGGTCCTGGACAAAACAAAGGCCGTTGCCATGTCTTGATTCCTCGACCGTCGGCCGTTGGCATCCCCGTGTGGTCTGATTGGCTGCCCACAACTATTGTCTCTCGCACAACGGCTCTCCAGCCATCCATTATCGGGATCTTGTGGACTCTAGTCACTGAGCTTGCGTCAAAGTGCGTCTTCGACAATCTACAAGTCCCGACGCCCGATCTTCAAGACGTCTTTTCCCCGGCACCCCGGTCCAACGACGAGCTGCTAATTGGCAATTGAGATCAAACAATGGCATTCTGACTCCACAAATGGTCTGGGACAGGCTGTACGCCATGGATTATCCCGAGGATGTTGCTCGGAATAGCCAGGTGCTAATGCGGTTCTTCCCGATCATGGATCCCGACCCCGTCACCCCGTCCAGTAAAGCCGGGGTAAGACAAGTGTAGGGTCGGCAGGCAAGTCATTCTGTAGGCAGCTGATATTGCCTAGAGTAATTTTAACCTAATCGTCTGTAGCTCCAGTGGAAATGACGTCTGTCTTTGACCCGGGGCGGTGGTTCTCGGCCGGGGAGACAGCATGTTAGTCGGTTTGCCTTTGGCACATCCGCGTGCCTGCAAGCTCTTTGCCCGCTTTCACCCG